TTCCCCGTTAGCTTCCTTATATTATGATAACTGAAATGTGTGACAAATCAAAATGCTTGTATTGTAGATTATTCTATGTTTAAACTATGTTGTGTTGATTACTGTGAGGTATTATGACTTAAATTTCTTCCACGGTTTCGAAAAGTGTAGTTGTAACGATTAAATTATCATAGAGTCTTGTGTAAAAATTGTTTCCAGTTGTTAACGAACGGGAAGCTTCCAGCAACTATCAAGTTTTGTGGTTCGAAATTAGTATTCGCATTGGAGATTATTTATGGCGAAGCGTTCGAAAGAGAATAAAACTCATATTGATCCTAATATTGATAAACAATGAATACACGAATTAATTTAAATAATGAGTAGGTTGTATTGAATGTGGCTCCGGACGTCTTCATATTTAGTGGTATCGTACCATAATAATAATACCGGGGCGATTATTTAAATACGCATGATTTCGTTTTCACGTAGAATAACATAAATTCCTACTGTATCCACTTTTCTTTTTTTAATTTTTTTTCACCTTATTAGTGTTTATAAAATAATTTTTTGCGAATAATTAAAAAACTTTGCAATATAATATCATTATATTTTACTGCATAACATAATTTAGATCGTTTCCGCCACGCGTTTACGTGCTCCCTCGCGATTCATTTTCGTCCGCAGTGACGGAAGTCTTCCTTGAGAACACGAAGATTGCCTGTGGTTCCGAAAACTCCTTCGAGGACCCGTAGATTCTTTTTAGGATACGAAAATTCCTGTTGAGGATCTAAGGATTTCTTTGAGGAACCCGAAAACTCCTTTGAGGATTCAAAGATTCACTTGAAGTTTCATAGATTCTTTTGCGTTCCAAAAATTTTTAAATGACCCTTTTAGAGACATGAGTATGTAAAACGCGTCCAACAATAAAATAAAACATGTGTACACCCTTTACAGGTTATGTTTACAATAAACTCAGGTTCCAACTTCATACTGACTCCGGACGGAAGACTTACCAAGAGATGAGTGTTTAACAAAGTGAACGACATTGTCAGTGAGTTAGTGAGTTGGTGCACGATGGAAGGTGTCAAACCGCGAGTTGAGCGGATCATGAGTGACGTCACGGACGCCGTCAGCGCGGCGTTGCTGCCGTCGCCTGTCCCGTCGCGGCGGCGATACTCCCTGGTGAACCTTCGGGACAGAGTACAACGTCTTTACCTCAGTCCGGGACCTCCCAGGAAGCACAACTCGGATACCATCAGCGAGTTGACTCTCATTGCAGGTGAACCATGTGGTTTGAACAATTGGTGTTTCGATATGTTGATTCGGGTTGATATTTCAATTGTTTGATTGGTTTCGCTGTGTTCTTGCAGACACGAACACGGCTTTTCTGGGTTCTTAAATAAAAAGCATAGGCCTTCATACATGTTAAACTGTTCAAGTAACATATTCGAAATTCTAAAATGATTGCTTATTTTGATTGAATAAGACCACAACTCACAAGATGCAAAAATTAGTAACGTGAAGACAAGCATCAGACAATGTTTGCACAGTTTATGTAAAGAAAAAGAAGAAGGAATGCTGGATTGAAACGACTGATGTATACATTTTATCTTAATACATTTTCAACATGAAACCAGACGTCCTCAGGGAGCTTCTCCGATTGCGTGATGATCATAAGTCTCATTTGATCGAGATTCCACTTTACCGGTGTTATTGGCTACCAGCACGCACCTTCTAGAGTTTGTTCTCGTGGAGTCTTTTACTGGGTATATTTTTGATAGTTTGTGGGATAAAATTCGGGTTTTTAGGTATAAAACCTCATACACTGTGTTTTTCATCTTTGGGGTTATATGTGTGGATTGGGCAAAAAATGTGAAGGCTCAATTCTTTTGCAGTTCTTCACATTTAAAAATGTACGTAACCCATCTATTTTTGATTAGCCTACTAACGAAACAAAAAAACAATATGGATGGACATAAAGTAATTTATCGATAATAAGTGACACAATTTTTGTTACCATTTTCTTTAGATAGTGATGACACAGGTTTGTATTTTGAGATGAATATTAATTAGGCGAGGGTAGAATAGAGTAGAAGAAATCTGTGTAGCTTTGTTAATAAGATAAGTTGTTTCACGAATGAGTATTGAAAGCCCAATGATCAAGGACATCTGTCTCAGTGTAGAGTTATCATTTATCTACTGACATTTCTCAGGATTGATTTCCCACCTAGGAATGTGCCGTGAGGACTGGTGAAAATGACATTATGAGGGGACAGGGAGCGATTGCCGGGATAAGGGGATTTAACGTGGGATATTTAGTCAAGTTAAGTGGCCACACTGACCGCTACATTTATCCTGAGATTTAGGGTGTTTTGGCGTGTTTCCCTGTAGAAGCCATTACCTACCCTGGCGTGAGGCCAGAGGTTCCTCCCCTCAACCTCTTATCTACCTGTGACGTAGAATGACGTTATAAATAAGTCATTACCCTGGTGAGATCGTCTAACTTCTCTATTATAACTGTTGGTTGTTAAAAAGCGAATACTACATAATAGAAAATGTTTACTACGAATCTTGCAATTTTGCAAAAAAAGTGCAAAGAGCGTGAGAAAAGTGTAATGACCGTGACAAGTTGAGTAGCTTTGTTGCTCAGAGATCATCTGATTCTTTGCTGATGTAGTCGGTGCGTTAATCGTTTGCTGGCCTCATAGAGAATACAGCGCATTCTCACACTGTAAGAATATCTTGTTTAATCTATTTGCGATTATCATTCAACAAAGTTTCTTTCTCCGTCGTATTTTTTAACATCACTCGTACCATCTAGAAACATTGGATACTGAAGTAGTCGTATCTGTGAAACAGCCGTGGTTACTTTTTATAATAGTTGGCGACTACCATATCATAAAGATGAAATACGTTGATCTATATTCAAAGCTTATCACTACCTTATTACCGGTTCTTCATCTTTTACTCCATGGGGGATTGTTGACGTTGTTATAAAAAAAAAAACACTTTTAAAAACACTTTACTACGCATATTTACAAATTTGAATAAACATATAACACTGAGGCTGTGGACTGGCGTACTTAAGCTGAAAAGGTACTCAAGTACGTACTAGGTAAACACAGTTTGTTTATATGCTTCTAGTTTTCTAACATGCTTTATGTTGTAAATATCATTAACATTGTAGACAACGCAAAGGAAAAGAAAACAGTAGAGGTTTCACGGAACGTCCTTGCGACACGCCAATGGTCGTAGATATGCTAATGTAGCGTAGCATATATCGTAGTCATAGTGTACATACATGACTAATGTAATACTGACCTATCGCTATCCTTGACTAACCTACTCGTATGTACTCTTGCTTTCACATTTGAATGCAGCACTTATGGGAAATAGACTTTTTATTAGTGCGAAATTTGAAACAGTTTGTGAACGAAAACTACACTGTTTTAATATGTTAGATGCTGCGTTGGATTAATATGAAATTTTATTACCTATGTTAATCAAGAAAACACCATGCAAATGGAAATCATGTAACAATTGGTTGGATTCTGTTAAATTTATAGCCGACTGACAGATACATTCAAACGACATTTTTTGTACTGCGCTTTAAAGATTTTGGAACACTATTGGAAACTGTAATAATTATTCTGCTACTAAATGGCAATTATGCCATTCTGGGGTTTTCAACCACAAGTGATAATGCCTAGACGTAGTCCGAATGAATGTGAAAAACAAATCCGTGTTAAAATCTACAGGAATAAAAATGTTATGAGGATTATTTGCACAAAATGTACCGTGAACCTTTTTGTCAGTTTAGTTTTTACAGGTCAACAAACATATGACTCCTATTGTCAGTGTATATAGGTCTACCAGTTTATGATGCTACAGTCTATGGTCGGTCTCCGTCTCCACAACTAAGCTTCGCCCCTCTTTGTGTGCTAATCTCTGTCTGGTGGTTTTATAGCATCGTCAATCTCGCCACTCAGAAACGCCTCGTGGGCGCAACAGTTGGAAAATAATACAATATTGATACAATTAGCCTAGTTTAAGATTTTCAAAATAATAAGTCAAGGGGACTTCATGAAGTGTAATGATGTATTGGTGGATTATTCGTGTATAGAATCTATGACATTTTACACATGTGATTCAATTTCAATTCAATTTATTTCATTATATAAAAAAAATGGTTTATATTACCTGTCCGTCAGTGATCCTATTGTGGTCTTAGGCGACCGGTTTCGGGATTAAAATCCCATCATCAGGCAGTTAAAAATTTCATATCACTCTAATTGAGGTCGTCAGTAATCAGAAAAAACACACACGTAAAGCACTAAATAATATTTCATTATATTTTCAAGACTGTGTTTTATTTGTGATGATATTTGTGTTTTATTTGTATTGATTCAATCGTGGATTTTGTGTAAACTCTAGCCTAACTTTCATTTAAATTGTAGTTAGGGGGGTGAGCTGGTCATTTGTAAAGAGTGGGGCTTCCGTCGTCATGCTGCCTGGTTCGAATCTTGCTTATCACAAATCGCTCTGTGATAATCTATCTATACTATTATAAAAAAGAGGTGGTTTCTGTATGTGTGTATGTGTGTATGGGAAAAGTAAACTCGAAAAATACTGGTCGGATTGGGCTGAAATTTGGCATGATGATAGCTCACATTCCCGATTAACATATAGGCATATTCTTATTTCAAAAATCCTTTCGGGCTCCGCCCCAGTGGCTCTGGAGTTTCCCATGTTAACCTTTTGAGAAATGGAATTATTGAATCTTAACAGCTGTTTCAATTAAACAAGTTAAACAGTGTTCTAGGAAAATTAACCTGTATTCAATATTGTATGTGCAAACAACTTTTTTATGTGTTTTTGAAGTATTTTGCCACTTAAAGTTCAAATGAATCATGTCACATTTACCTCAAATTTTTACGATGAGAACTTATAACTGTTAATTTAATAATATCTACTGAAAATCAAACCGTTGGAGATATTAACGATGGTTTATTCTGTTTCAGAGCCGGGACCAAGTGAGAGTGGAAGTGCAGTTACCACCAATTCTCCCGTGAACAAAAGAAGAGTTTTTAGCGGGTGAGTTTGCTTTTTTATCTCAATAAGATGCCACAAGAGTTCTGCAGAATTTATGTGGGTTAAAATATATACATATACTTTTTATCAAAAATATTATATTCAAAATTTAAAAATTTAAACTATTGACATTGGTTTTGTTCAGCAAGACTGGCATCCAGTTCAACAAATAATGAGTACATAGATATTTCTTGTGATACATAAACTGGAATGGAAAAAAGAAACAAGAACAGTACTGATTATAAAAAATATATTTATAGTTTTTGTTTCAAATTTGTATTAAAAAATAAAACCCCTTATTGATTCTCTGTTGAATAAAAATAGTATAACCTTATTTTATACTTTGTATGTTGGGAGAATTTATTTAAATGAAAATTACTATAGTTCAAAATAAAAATTTGTTGGTTCGATCTTTAATTAAATTGAGCGGTTAAAATATATGGTTTATGTTTTGAATGGTTTAAATAAATATGTGACAGAATTACAGAAAATATATTGTCAAATAACCCGGTTTTATTTGTCGCCAGAGTATTTTATATGATTTTTTTTTTATGAATCATAGTGAAACCAATGATGAATTTATGATTCATAGTTCTATGCTTTGTTATTACAACTATGCAGTAATTTCTGGGTCAGTGTTGTGCATTTGTTTCATGGTGTGATTGTTAAAACAGTTTTTCTTGTTTATCTTAAATGTAGAAAGCCTTTTTTAAATTTGTTAACCTAACTTCAAAAAATATGTTTACCCATAGTCAAATTCAAAACCTTTCCATTCAGAGACAGTTTTGAATTCATTGACACCATTGGTCATTGAGTTGTTTGCAGTGTTTCTCAATGTTTTATTCGTGTTTGCCATTTACAAATCCATTTACTTATCTGTCAGATCTTGTCGATAAAGAGTAATAGTGATGTTAGGAAAACTGACACAGTTGTCAGTAGAGTTATGTCTTGTGCCGGACGATGCAATTTGTAAGTTTACAATAAGCATAAACATTTAATCTAAAATTTACCTTTGAATTTCATACTTATGATGTGAAGATCACAATATCTAGAGACTATCAATTTTTGTATAAGCAAGAAGTTATTTAAACCTTCATAATATAGAATCAGGGCTTCTATAGGATGTTTTATTTTGATCTCTAGAATGTATCGAACCTAAAGTGAAATTATACCTGGAGCTTTGTAGGGTAATTCTAAATAGTAGGTTTTGTAAATTAAATATTTTTCTTAGGCTGTATTTAAGTGTTGTAAGATTTCATATCTTCAATGCCGTCTCCAATTATAACATAAGTGTATTGTTTGATACCTGTAAATTTCATCATCCAAGTTACTGTTTTTCACCCGATTGGGATTAAATAATTTACATTTAACATGTACAAAAAATTGCCTACAAATTAACAGGCGATCTTTAAATCTTTGCCGGATTAAACAAAACTATAGACTAATTTCTTTTTGAAAATCCTTTTTCAATAAGGCCCCTACACTTTAAATGCATCTATATAAACATCTTTTAAATAAAGAATCATAGTGGATCTTGTGGTATTAATCTGTACTGATAATTTTTTACATAACTTTTTATTTGTTTTCAAAATATATCAAACAATCTTAATAAGTATTTATTTTACAGAAAACAATTTTTTCCTCTTTGGCCTATCAATGCTTCCTAACTAACTCTTATATTCTAAATCGGCGTTACTCTCAAGCCTGTGTGTTTGTTGCTAACATACAAACTTGAATTCACAATCTATCTAAGCAGTGGACCAACAATGATATTGCATTTGGTTGGATCGTGATGATTCGGCCTTGGTCTATCCCATATTAGGTTCCGTCTTTCACATTGTCATTCCTCCACAGATGTGTTCCTTATTAGGAACCTCTGTTTTGACCCACCATTGTTTTTTATTCTTCTTCTCTTTGTCCTTTGACAGGTTTTCTCACCAAATATTTTGTCTCTTAGACTTTGTATATGGTGAAGTCAATTATTTAAATATTTAAAAGCGTTTCATTTAATTTCATATAACTTTAAGTACAATACATAAATACAGGAATGGCGTCAAGAGTAATTTAATAAAACTAACTTAACTAAAATACTCATCATTATCATGCATAGCGTAACAACATACCATCAATATTAATAGCTTTTCAGATCAAATAAATAAAAAATAAATAAAAAAAAACAGTGTAATATAAAAGTTTATATATAATGTACATGAAAATATCAAAATTAAAATAATAGATAAAATTAATTTAAAACCAAAAGTTTCAATTTAAATGAAATAAAGCAATTAATAAGTTATAGAGCTAAAACTCTTCAAACGAGTAGGCCTACATATAGCCTTGTTGATAAACTTTTTCAATCTTGAATTAAATTTATTTTTGGAGGTTTCTAATTTGATTTCTTTTGGAAGTTTATTATAGAATTTGGAACCAGCATATTTAGGTGTGTTCGTAAAAAGTTGCAGAGTATGTGACCAGTTACAGCTTGTGGCCAGAATTTCTTGATTTCTAGTAAAGTAATTGTGATAGTCTCTAATAAGTTTCAATTCATTAAATCTGTCTTTTACTGATAATACTGTTTCATAGAAATACATTTCATAAACAGTCATAATATACTCAGTTTTACAGTTTTAAATTGCATAAAATTCTAATAGCTTTCTTTTGCTTTTTTAGAACTGATTTTAATTTTTCCTTTTTTTTTGCACCATAAAGTGAAACTCCAAATGATATGTTTGAATATATGTATGAAAAATATATAATTTTTAAAGTTTCCTTTCACATAGGGGTTTTAATCTTGTTAGGGCATAAAGGCCAGATGAAATGTTGATTGTTTTTCATCAGTATTTTGTTAATTGAATAACGTGTTTTGATAATTGATGGAAATTTTATATTTTTTGGATGGTTGTAAGTGTATACAACCAAATACCCACGGTTTTATTATTATTTCAAAGTCATTAAAATCAAATTCTGTATTAAAATGTTAATTTTACATTTGTACTTGTAATGGTTGATTATGTTTTACATTATCATACTGTATATGCTGCAAAACAATTTTTAATTTGTAAAATCCTTAATTTTGCTCATTTTTAAAACTTCTTTAGTGTTAAGCTCTCTTAGCTGTAATTTTTTTTTAATAAAATTTCAACACTTTTAAAACCTCTTTGAAACATACAACTCACAAGTTGACAGTAAAACACAGAAATTTTGTCAAAGCTCACGAGGGTCTCTTTTATTTGGTTTTTAATGAAGAGTTTAAAACCCCTGGTATTTACTAATTACTTAATTGCTTAGAGTTCCCACAAAATAGATGACAACAAAAGGAGGAAAACATGTCAACCAAGGCTACAAGCATGACTTGACTGTACACTTAGCCACTTGGCTAGTTAACCAAGGATGAGTGGACTTTACTCTCACCAACCCTTCCCCTTAGTCTTTGCAATTAAGTAAAGCTTTATTCACTAACAAAATAGTGCCAGTTCTAATCTACATAGTCTAAAATATCAATGACTAAGGGGCCATACACATTTTAATAACAAACTTTTTTGTCATTTTAACCCCCCCCCCCTTCATTTACTTAACTCGCGTAGACTTCAATTACAGCTTAAGCATAATTTTACTTGTGGAATATGGATTTATATAAAACTTTAAACTTTCAATGTCTTTTGTTTAGTCAAAGCAAAATTGATACAAACAAACAAGATTGTTACTAATAATTTAATAAAACAACAACAAAAATTATCCTAGTGAAAACTTAACTAATTTAATCTATAACTAATAAAAAACGTCAGATAAATGAATAAACAAACAACAGTTATATTGTTAAGGACCAAACAACAAAATAAAATATTTATGAGCTTATAACATAACATAAAATTGAAGTAAAATCTTTTTTTAGCTTGTCAACAACCTTATCAGGGGTAAGCAGTGGGAGTCTATAATATTTAGTGGGTAAATCACAAAAAATTTTCATCAAAAAGATTATTAAGTATCAAGAATTTTGATAGTAACACTCAATAAGGAACTTATTCAGCTACGATCCATTTAAATGAAAAATTGCCATCGGCTGGTCCATTTAGTTGGGAACCCTACTTCGGTATCCCAAAGTACCAAGAGCATTCCATCTACAGTCGTCAATTCAATAAATTGTTGTATGACATGTTTTCTGGATAGCATAACATTATGTTTTGTTTTCCAGGAGGAAATGGCTTCCCCCTCCCCTCCGAAAGCTCAGTGGGGGAAAAGTGGAGAAGAACACGGCTCCAGAACGAACTCCCCTCAAGAAGACACCTTCAGATAAAAGGATAAAGGTTGGTTGATTTGAAGTAACCCAGCTGTTACTGATGCTTGGGGTAAATATTTATGCCTATGAAATAATGCTAGAATATTTACATACAACTTTTGTAAGGTACACTATAGTTAGGCCGCTTAGAAAACGACCTGCGTGCTAATGCGAAACCAATGCTGGAGGAGGTCGCTTTCTAAGCGGCCGAACTATAGTAGAAAGTGGTTTGTAGTGGTTAAGGAACTCTCCTGGTAATCAAAAGCCATTGGTTCGATCCTGAGTAAAGTCTGTAGTGTTTTGATTATTCAAAAATGTTTTAAGCTGTCTTGGATTATTGAACTTTTAATTAATGTTCCTGGCAAAGAATCAGCTGATTTTATCCAGTAGCAAAGTGCGTAGCATATTACTTCATTCTACAATCATCCTTTGCTCAGATAAATAACAATACTGTAATTATACAGTAGGACCACAATAACAAATCCCTCATGGGGATGATAAAATCAAAGTTATGAAAGTTGACTCCTTATCGATGTTTGCAATAACATGTTATCAAGAGTAGTATGAAATCAAGATTATTTGAAACTCTTGTTATAAAGGGCCTTATTATTGAGGTTCCACTGTATCAATTATTGTTTGGATGCTGTTGGTACTGTAGACCCATTGATATTCCATACAATTACATAACTTTATGAAAAGGATTGAGAATAATGAGATATTGTTGTGCAATACCTAAAAATATATCATTGCATTTTTCAACAAATTTTATATCATCTTACAAACCCCGAGATGCAGTTGAGTATTTTTAATAGTGACCAAAACAACTGAGGGATAAGTACTATTTTTTTCTTCTTTTTTTTCAGAAACTTCACAATATTTTATATCTTTCTACATTTATCAATAAGAGGACACGTTTTTTGACTAAATTATCTCTATATTCATTATTTTTCTTATCTCAGAGATCCATGCTTGCCCCTTCAAAGAATTGTCTATCAACCCTGAAAAGGTGAATCTCAAATCGGCACCTTGCGTAGGAAAACTAAATGTTTTCATTAAACGACAAAATCGCAGAACGTGTGTGATATTTGACCACTCGACTTTCTGTGTGGTGATTATAACAATAAACAGAGCTGGATTTAGTTCAGATCGTCACCCGAAGCGCTGCCAAGGTTTCATTACTGACCCTCACAAAAGCCAACATTCTTATCTGACGACAGCTGATATTTTCCGTCTCTGTCGTTCTTTTTGGCCATACCTTAAGGCTTATTTCGGTTTGAATGAAAAATTATCGTTTAAAATTAAACAAGTGTTTCAAGAGTAAGAGCTTGTTTTATTTCTGTTTTTTTTATGAGTTGTTTCTGTATTTTTATTTGGTTGAATTATTAGTTCTGATGTACAGTAGTTTGAAAGTACTTTTGTAAGACAGTTTGACATGTATAAGGATTGTGTCTGGTGAGGCAAACCTAGTCGTTTGCTGAAGTACTTTCTTTGACTTTATGACCTGGGTTTGAGTCCTACTTAATCAATAGCTTTTACTTTTACCCATTTTATAATGTCACAACTTTTTGGTTAGGGATTCACATTCAGCATTATGTCCCTCTCTGATGCTATGTCGTGAAAGTAAAACCGTCTCTTTACTCTAAAAATCTACGAGATTGCTTGCTTTATCTTGTAAAACGTTTTTCTTACTCATATTTCAAGATTTTCTAAACCACAATTCTTAACTAAAGAGTTGATAAAAAATAAATTACTCAATGCTTTGTTACATACATCTGAAATGTATAGCAAATATTTCTGAGATAAACTTTGTAATGTTTTTATTATACATTGAAAATACTAGAAATATTTACATTAAACATCAGTAATAAATACTGTAAAGTTTTTCTCTATAAGTTAATTATTTAAAAATATTTACATATTAACAGCTATATAGAGACTAAACAAGGTGTTATAGAGTGAAGTGTGAGTGAAGCGTAGGGTCATATTGGTGTCATAACCGGAGTTTGACACATGAATTAGACATTGACGGTGGCAGTGGCGGGGCTGCATGGATGATCAACCAATCTCTCTCCCTCGGTCCCCCCCCCCCCCCCCCGTCCTACTTTCAGTCATGTTTTATGTACTGGCCAGAATTGACGTTGATGTTACCTTATTCACACTATAAGTTTACGGTAAACAATTTTGGGAGATTATTTGGTCACTATAAAGAGCTATTGCCTGCTAATCGATATTACCGATCCATAATTGACAATCTGTGTAAGTCTTATGGTTAACACTTTTGCAAGATTATTTCCTACTATAAGGTTTTATTGCTTGCTATTCGATACCAGCCAAAATTGGCATTCATGTTTCCTTACTTAATCTATACGTTTTACGGTTAACGCTTCTGTGACATTATTTGGTCTCTATAAAGTTTTATTGCTTGCTAATCGATAGCACCGATCCACTTCCTGGCGAATTAAGGTGTAATCTGTTATCAATCAATGAAGTGGGCCAAGGACCTTTTGTGGTCTGCTTTGATTATAACTGTGGTAGTTCCATTCGGTTCTTAATAGTGTGATTGTGCTAGCATATGTTGATAACATCACCGTTTTTTGTGTTTTGATGGGTAAATATACAAATTGTTCTGATTTAGCTTTTCTGCTGAGAAAGTAGTTCTTGTAACATATGTATTTACGAGGATTTTAGCTCACGTCAAATTATTGTGGGTTATGGGAAATCCTACTTTAATTATGTTAATTTGGGAAATTGCTACATTTTCATCAAATTACTTTCCGGTGAATTTTTACATCTCCTTAGTTCAAACTTTGATAACCAACTTTATATGCCAAATAATTATCTTATTTATTCTAAGTGTATTCTTTTATTTATAAAATGTATTTTAAGTTAGTTGTAAACCATACGTAATTTAAGAAAACCATTCCTACACTTCGATAGATGCCAACTTAGAAATCTTACATAAAGCCCCTAAAGTGACAAGTAAATACAATAGAACATTTTTATATACAGTATATATAACTCTAACAAATCCGACCCATCCCTCATATTAAATGACAGAAGAAACTTTGCCTCTAACATCATATTTGATTCATTAATTAAAATAAGAAATACCGTAAATAATACAATAAAATATTATCAAACACCTGTCTGCAAAAATAACTCTATGGAGTGATAAGACCATGCTGCTACAAGTAAAAGTCATAACATCCCAACTTCGGAGGTTAGAATTGATCAAGAAAATCATAGCCATGTATCTAAGTTGTATTCATTTATGTCCTTGTAAATACAGTTGAACCTCTATAAGACGAATTTCAAGGGGTACGGGAAAAATTTGTACTATAGAGGTATTCTTAATAAAGAGGGTCGTTTTATCGAGGTTTAATGCTGCTGTTATTCTTCTTATAGAGTTTTCTCCTCGCTCCAAGGTTTCTCCAAACAATGACTGAGGAAGGAGGAGGGATGGGTGGGGGTTTCATGTTGAGACAAGCTTCTGTTTGTTTTGAAAACTACGTACTATGGAGGCTAAGATTATGATAAATTCGTCTTATAGAGGTCACGTTCGTCTTGTAGAGGTTTTGTGCTAAGAATATTTGTTGTATAGAGGTTAATCAGTCCTAGCCCATGTCACAAACAAATTCGTCTTATGGAGGTTTTTAACTTAATTACTACGTTGTATAGAGGTGTTTTTAGCATTGACCTATATGAAAGTGTCAAGGGGATTAAAACAAATTCGTCTCTTCGAGGAATTTGTTTTATCGAGGTTCGTACAAACGAGGTTCAACTGTATTTATATGTGATCATTGTTTGCAAAAATTATACTAAATCAACAATATTTCAAGTAAGAGATGGAAAAGTGTAAAGTTTAGCTAGCCTATGAGACAAAAGGACTGACGATAACGTTTCGACATTGAAATCTAGGTCTCCACTCTAAAATAAATTGTATCGTAATCGTAATGTAACCTTAGATTTAACCATGTTCTTATTTTCAAAACTGTCTTCAACATTAACATGAAATTAAATAGCCAGTTTACCCACAGTCAAAGGTTGTATTTTGCTCTTTAAATTATAAGTGAGTTAACCGTTTGGATGTTTCAGTCGCCGGCAGGTGAGATGGGTAACAAGCAAGGAGGCTCGGTAGGAGTCGGGCTGGAGGAGGAGAGTGGAAGGGACCAGAATGGGGAGGAGGGAGAGGAAGAAGTAGAGTTGCCGCCACCGATGAAACCCATCAACGAACCCATCTTGGTACCCTCGGACGAGTCTCAAGGCCAGCGAGTAAGTATCAGCAACAATCCTTGATATTTACCATTAGTAGTACGGGTTGGCGAAAAACTACTTGGATGACATGAGGTTATATCATATTTAAACAATTCATGAATCGTAAATAGCTCTAACATTAAAGGCGAAAGGCTGCCCCCACTAATTGCCGCTAATGCTCTCGTATAGCTTCGCAGTGTGGTTATAGAATATTTTTCTCTCCTGTTTCACATATTATCAAACGAAGCCTATTCCACAGATTTTTTTCCTTACGTTTGTAGTATTGTCACATGAAACTCAACTTATTGCCAAATGTATATGTTGCTGAAAATTCCATCGGAAGGTGCATTTGATGCTGGATGAAAAATATTCATACACTTGGAGCCAACATGAAGATAACGCTGCCAATCATAATGATCCTATATTTTAATTAAAATTTTTAATTGTACTAATCCTCTTTTTTTCAATTCTCATAATCCAAACTGTACTAAACCAACCTAACCTAAACACCGCAGCAGCCTAAAAGAATGGCGGGTGTTATGCTACTTGAAAAGACCTGTAATGAATTATCAATATTTTTATCAATTGAAATATTTCAATTGATAATATTTCATCTAATATTATATCGTTGGTTCTCTGCGGATTTGTACCCCATGTAAACACAAGTTTACCCACCCTGAAGCGTTATAACGTTTGCTGCTCGGAAGCTCAGAATTAACATTTGTATTCTGATTACAAAATTCTGCGGTACCAACACTTTGCTAATTATAGTACTCTACAGCCTCAATGAAGAAAGACAAAGCTTGGCAATAAATTGAATCTGTGATTTTAAACTTTTATGAAACTGGGATGAGTCAGGAACAACGATTTGTTTCAGTCTTCAAACCTGTCATTGGAAGGTGCAACTTCGGCAGATCTGGCTGAGATTGAACAAATCGTCAAAGAGAGAATGGTGAACTTAAAAGAAATCTGGCATGTTGTGTGTTTAATGGAATGGACTAATTTTTGTTTTTATTTAGTTTATTTTCACCCAAAACATTACCTCCTGAACGGAATGGACCTCTAGTGTAAAACATTAAATCATGCACTTTGGTTGTAATTTTATATATTCTTTATATTCTTTTATATTTCTTTAGTTCGATATTTTTTCACACTTTTAGATTGTAGACTAAAGTATTTGTAGTTCTGTTTTACTTTAATATTTCCTTGTTCTTTTTTAGAGTGATTTGTGCCTGTAACACAGTGTGTGTATTATTTTAATAGATATTTCTGAGTAGTTATTGCAAGTTGAACCTTATGCAACCCTTTTTATTTATTATTTATTTAACTTGGTACAGGACATATACAATGAATTTTCCAATTTTGTTTGGTGTAGGATGTATACCTTGTTAAATTTTCTAACTCGTTACTAAATGTGGAAGAGTTATGAATGTAAAAATGGATTTGGTAATTTTTGTAGATTTTGAACTGTTAACAAACGATTTCTGCAACTCAAAAAATTAGTTTGGGAACACCTTTTATCCAATACCAAACGGTATTTAAATAATTATCCTACTTTTACTAAACAATACAATTCATGTATAAAAGTAATTGACGTACAACTATTCATGTTTCTAACAATTTATGAACTCTCTGTTAATGTTCATCCGCTGTATTGTTTTAATCATTTTCTATCACAAAAAAGAAAGAAACAATATTTTTCTCATCAGAATACGGGATCCAACAATCTTTTTCGATGATTTTTCAGCTAGAATTGTTAAAAAATGTGACTAAACTGAATATTTTTCTAGGAGCAACATAGCGAGAAGCAGTCGAAGTTGTCAGTTTCCGATGGAGGGGAGGGGGAAGAAGAGTCGGCGCTACAGAAGCGAGAGTATGTGATACGCGAGCTGGTGGAGACGGAGCGAGACTACGTACGTGACCTGCGCATGGTGGTGGATGGCTACATAGCGCTCATGCGCGACCCTGACTGTGATATACCCTTGCCTGAGGACCTTAGAGGAGGCAAGGACAAGATGGTGTTCGGAAACCTAGAGGCTATCTACGAGTGGCATAGAGAGTGAGTTGTTTATTAAACAAAAGTGTTGTGGTAGATCAAATTGTGAAATTGAATATCTCCTCGGAACAACGTTGCAAACGACAATTTTTGTGAAATTGACATTTTTATAGATCAACAATGCAAATGACATTCTCTACTGCATGGGATATTTCATTTTTTAAATACATAAAGTTGGCAGCACAAGCGACTGAATTTCCGAGTAACTGGCTGTTTTGGCGAGACGTAGGAATTGGCTAACTCAGGAACTCGCTAATTCGGTCGTGTGTCGGAACTGACTAACTCTGGAACTGGCTAACCGTATCAGTCAGGAATTGGCTAACTCCGGAACCCGCTAACTCGATTTTGTCTCGCGGCGGAATTCGCTAACTCTGGAAGTCGCTAACCCAGCCGCGCCCACTGCATGGAGCGTTGCCAACCTTGCACGACGAAATAATCGTACACTGCCGTATTTCAAAATATCAGTGTCAATGAAGATACAGTAAATGTTATTGTTTTTTTGCTATCAAACTCCACTTTGAACAGATAACTAGCCCAAAGTAATTAAAAGACAATTAAAAAGTAATGAAAAAGTGTTTTTTTATTGAACTGTACAATGGCCAATTAATTAAATTTTTATGATTTTGATCTTAAACATAAATGCTATCAGTATAAAAAAAATAAAATATGAAAAATATATAAAATTCAGTTTAATTGGTACTAAATAATTAAACATCTACGAAATTAAGCTAAAATACACGCTAGTTCTCAAACACGGAAAACAAATTTAATCGTAATGTCGTAATAAACCAAAACCATCAATTAATACAGTAATCAACCATTGTAACTTTCATAACTAATTCATAGATTTAAAATTAAATGTTCGTCGTTGAATCTTCCAACTTACGTGTAAAAAACTATGACATAGACTAAGTTTCATATCAATTATAGAATAGCTTAGGCCTAAATCTAGGCCTAATAGTTTAAACCAAAGCATTGTAGGTCTACTAGTAAATAGTTGCCTAATTCTAAAATGTGTTGAATTTTTTAGTAATAATGTTACATGTTTTAAAACAGTTTTTAGATTGTACACCTATGCACCTCTAGTAAATAATAGGAGAAGATATAATACATAAAAATAATAAAACGGAACAGGGTTATGTTAATTCACGATTCTTCATCAACGACTTGACGGATTTTCCTGATTTGAGTGTTGGGTTTCCTTTATATTGTTTTTATAATCGAGTGTATACCAAGCCATTGCTCGGTTCCCCGTTCCCCGGTACTGAGCTACTCAATAGACAGTAGCTTTGTTTTTAGATAAGATCAGGTAGTTTTAGCTATAGCCACCATTCATAAAAATGGTAACAAACAAGAACGCCTGGCAGAGGCGGTTCCAAGGGGGGGGGGCTACAGGGGCTAAAGCCCCCTCCCCTTGGACCCTATAAAATAAATTTAAACGTACATTTCGCCCTTAAAACACGCAATATCATAAAACAGACATCAATGTAGATTTTATTAAACTTAATAAGCGATGGCAGGAGTTGTATTAAGTTCCACGTAGATCAACTTTGTGGACAATAGCACCTCAAATAAAACAATATTACGCAATGGAAAGTTAGTTATACAGAGGTGGCTGTGGTTATACGCATCATCCAATTTTTACAGCAGTCAGCTGTTGACATGCTAGGGCAAAGGCGAGCGCCGAGCGCGCGAGCAAGGACCATACAAGGACGGGAAAACAGCTGATTTCCTGATGTTCCATAGTTGTCAAATTGTCTGCTAGCCACTAACTTTACAAAGGCCACAGGCATCAATCAGCAATCAGCGGTAGCACCAGTAGCCTTTTACCATTTACTATATGAACACTAATGTTAAAGTTTTGTATAGTCAATGCTATTACCGGTACTGAGTTCGATACTATACATATTGTGACAGATCTATGAAATGGACTGTAGAAAAACATAAGTTTAAAAAACGTATCTACTTGCTTGCATGACATATAAAAAGCATATAATAGGTGAAATGGAAGGTTTTAGGATAATTATTGAGCACAGTTCTAGCCGTTAGAAATGGCCATATAAAGTGACCAAACGCTTATTTTTAGGAGATATGGTTTCGTAGTCTACAGTAGGCCTATGTTTTTAAATTCATGAATGCAAGTTCGTCATAGTTTGATTTTTAAAATGTCTACTTACTTGCTCATGACAAAGACAAATAACAGGTGAAATGGCAGGTTTTTGGACAGTTAGATACAAATATACATCAATAACGGCTTTAGAAAGTCAGTAAAAAGCCTTTTGGACGATATGGCCGTAGTCTACAGTGTTTTGAAATTCATGAATGCAATATGCAATCGCCATAGTTTAATTTTTAAAATGTCTATTTGCTCATGACAAACAACAGGTGAAATGCGGAGTTTACGGACAATTAGGCAAGGTTAGGTGTTAAAAATGGCTTTCTACACTGTAGATGAATTTTTAGACGCTAAGACTGATTGTATTATAGACTGACTGTGATGTATTTTTGCACTGACGATGCCTATTAAACAAAATTAAGAGGATGACACAGGTTGTACACTACAGTAGGCCTAATAGCCTACGATAATAGAAATTTGCAATTTGTATCTATGCATAGAAAAATTTTTTATGCAATCCATTAATACATTAGGCCTACCACTTTATAATGTATTGATCAATATTTATTTAAATTCAATAGCTCTATTTTTAAATAAATTACCATTGCAATGCATTTCTGTAATGACGTTTAACGTGTAAATTTTATCATGATTTATGATTCAATTTTATGATTAAAGGTTACGAGCCCAGTATATAAAATACGAACTTAATAATTTTATTGCAGAAGTTAACAAATTGGCATTTATTCGAATAAAAGAAACAAATGGTGGACTACGAAAATAGATATTTTATAACATGTATAATATCCTAATTAAATGTACAGTATTATCATTTTGCATCCCAATAAACTACTATTTAAGTAAGAAAACCACATATAAAACATACTCCCTTGTATTAGTACATTTCTCATAGTAGTTAGTTATGTCCGGTGCACTGTCTTTAGAGGTCGTGTTTTGTTTACAATTGTTTCTTGGTTTCAGTAATTTAAAACCTCGTTTAACCAAACAAAACGTTTTAATCACAACTTATAACACGTACCCTATTTATATAACCAAACAGTAAAGAACAAATCATGAAGTTAACTATAAAATAATAGAAACACAATTTCGTCGACACTAGCGATCAGTGTCACCAGACATAAATTAGACACGAAAAACAAGCTTCAAAGTTTACAATAGGATGTAAAGTTTACTTGTGTTGGTTAGTCTATGGTAAGACTATAATGCATTTTCTACCCTAATAACCATAAGAATAATATTAAAATACTACTCTTACTCCTAATTATTCGTAGGATACGACATTATGGTACCGATACGATATAGGTACTACACTTTCGGCAACACTGGCCAAAAATCTTCGTGCTTGGCTCCCATTGGACGGCCCGCGAGGCTTCTGATTGGGAGTTAGCGAGTTCCGCCGAGGGACCGAGTTAGCGACTTCCGTACGAGGACGGAATTCGCTAACCCGGCTCTAGAGCGGGTTAGTGGGTTCCGGAGTTAGCCAATTCTGAAACCGAACAAGTTAGCGAGTTCCTCCCATCGACCAAATTTGAAGATAGGGCGTTTAACATGGGGTTAGCGAGTTCCAGAGTTAGCCAATTCCGCGGACCCGTTTTGGCATTGGTGCTGCCATTTTGTGTTTTCTGAAAATATTCACATGCAATGTTGTTCGGCATGAATACTCAATTAGTGAATGGACACATTTATCTTTTGAGAATGTAGATTAATAATTGTCTTTTACTGTGGGTTCTCCAGTATAGATAAAGTATAATCCTTGTCTGAGAGACTTGTTCTTAACTGTATTTTATCTCATGATGGGTTAGCCTCTGGATCAAGATAATGCAAATATAAAAGGTTTAATTTACCTGTTGCGTCAATTGATCCTTAAGTTATGAAATAACTACGGCCATTTCGTACTGCTAAACGAGTACATCTTCAGGTTGTCTATGAACGTTAAAATACGGCCTTCTCATCCGTGGATGGAGTATTTTAACGTTCATAGACAACCTGAAGATGTACTCGTTTAGCAGTACGAAACGGCCGTAGTTATTTCATAATTTAAGGATCAATTTACGCAACAGGTAAATTAAACCTTTTATATTTGTGTTTTATCACTTAAGAACAAATAATAATTGGAATGATTTATTGCTTTCAGAAGTTCCCCAACGTGAGAAAATCACATTTTGTCTTAAATTAACTGCTTTTCATTAACTACTACAAAATGTGTATCCTTTATCGCAAATCTAACTCCACCATTTTCTCTGGAATCTTTCATGTTTCTGACTCTCCTGAATGTTTCAGTTCCTTCCTGAAAGGGCTGGAGCGTTGTATTCAGTATCCTGAAGAGCTCGGGCCTCTGTTCAAGAGGTATGAGAGGAAACTTCTGATGTACGTCGTCTACTGTCAGAACAAACCTGTGTCCGAGTACATCGTCTCAGAGTACATCGACACCTACTTTGAGGTTAGCTGCATTGCCTCGCTTCATAATTTATTGGTTTCCTTAGATTTAAAGTTAATTTTTATTATAGTAGATCTAATTACACCAGCAATATGGATTTCAGCAGCAACAATTGTGCTGATTTTTATTCTTAACCCAGGTTGCGCCTAGAGTTTGTGCCATTATCACTCAGATAAACTCCATTGGTGAGTGGTAGAATTTCAACCCGGGACCTCTAGGACTGAAGTCCCGCGCTCAACCAGTAGACCAGCTAGGGGGGCCCTTAAAAACCGTGGTCAGGGGTGAATTTTCAAAAGTCTCCATAGGCCCTCTCGTATAGGTGCGCGAAGATGAGTGGCAAAAAAATTTATTATGTTTTTTTTAACTTAAGTATTTTCTCACATTAAAAGTAAAAAAAAGAGACTGTGAGTCAACTTTGTTATCAATGATTTTCCTTAGTTATTTTAGCAATGCGTTTTTTTGGAATTTTATTTGATTCAATTCAAAGTTTGGTTATTACAAAACAAATTTCTATATACTAACAAACTTTTATTGGTTTTTAGTTATTAAATCAATTTTGTAATTTTTGATGATTCTCTAGGGGGAAAATCTTTAAAATTAATTTTACACTATTTTAATTTGTTGTATGGATAGTTTATTATTCATAGATTTTAGCTGCATTTTGTTGTATATTATTCATGGTATAATGAGTATTAATTGGTTCAGACTTATTTTAATTTCTTGTTGTTCCTTTAATTTTTCAATACTCAAATTTATAAACAACAATTTACTCACTATTTTAATTTACTTAACTGAAATTACTTTGGTGAAAAAAAAAATAGATTCGTGAAAAAACCACCGGTTCCTAAGAGTACATAAAATCTAACTGACCATCATCAACAGCACAGTGTGGAAAGACGAAAGACATCTAAACATGTTATATCTTGCAGGAGCTGAGACAAAAGCTGGGTCACAAACTACAGCTGTGCGACCTGCTGATCAAACCCGTCCAGAGGATAATGAAGTACCAGCTGTTACTGAGGGATTTGTACAAATACACGGAGAGAGCTCACCTCACTACGGAGATGGAAACTTTACGACAGGCGACCCACGTCATGCAGGTCGTGCCCAAGGCAGCCAACGACATGATGGACGTCGGCCGGCTGCAAGGCTTCGACGTAAGTCCTAGTGTGTCTTGGTCCATACTTGATTGTTTATGGTGAATTAGAAAATTCACAACCTTTTAAAATTTTAATATTTGCATATAAAGGACAGCCAAGTTGTTGATAAAAAGATTTTTGAAACACAGATTCATTTGAATTTCAGTGAGTGGATTTACTCTTTGAATAAGTCTCTCAGGAATGTTTATATTAGGACGAAACAACAGTGTTATTCTTTGTGATCCTCATATCTATTAGTTCTTGGACTCTAATTTTCTCTTTGAAACTAAACTTTGACCTTTTTCATCAAATTCCTCATCAAAGATTAGATTTTTTTCAAAGAAACAAAATTTCTCAAATTTCTTAATTAAATAGTTCAGCTAGCGTAGGCCTACTTAAAGTACATTTTTAATTTTAACTGACATTTCTCTTTAAATTACCTAATGAAGAATTCCTATATTATGTAAAAATATCAGTGTCAAATGTTCTGATATTTTATTGTGTATCAATTAGCCTCTAACTAGTGTTTTCAGTTAAGCTGGATGAACTCTTATCTCCTTCTATTGCATATTTATTTCCAGAATAAATGTTTATCCTGTTACCTAACTATGTTTGTTTCTCCAGGGAAAGATCACGGCCCAGGGCAAGTTGCTGCTGCACGGGCCACTGGTTTGTTGTGAAGGCACGTCAGCCGCCAGTTTCAAGGGCAAGGACCTTGTAGTGTTCCTGTTTGAACAGAACATCATATTCAGCGAGGCTGTCGGCAAGAAAACTCAGTTCACCAACCCTGTATATATCTACAAAAACCACATTCAGGTAATATTGATAGCTTTCAATAGTTTGGTTGGACTTAGCTGCCCTCGTTGAGATTTTGGTGATCCTGGCTAATCAGCTGATTATCAAAAAAGCTACACAGATAAACTATTCCATTATACAATTAACCTGTATTCATATTTAGCTTTGAAATGTATGGATATTGTATAGATTTAACCGTAGCACTGGCAAACGGCGGATATACGGCGCGAACGGCCGCGGCCGAAATGGCAACGCCGGATATACGGCGCCAATGCAGGTGATACGGTAGACCTAAATATAATTTTTTTTTTTTTTTAGGTTTGTTCACTTTTTAGGGCTACAGTTGTAATAAACAAGTTAAATAATACAAACAAGAGTACCCTGGGATTATATATTATATAAGATGTACGGTTTTGTACATGACCTGGGTTGGGTGATTATTTGGTACTAGCGCGGGGGTACGATCGACATAGTAATAGGGCTATCAAACAAAATACACAAAATAAGCTATATAAACTATATGTTTTTGGAATCAGCACAAAATTTACCACAACTTTACAATTTTTCTTCTGACTCCTGTTACCAGTTGACAGATGTGTGTGCAGAAAAGTGTTTGATGCTGAAAATGTGCAATATTGACTTGTAAAGTACACAGCAGCCTGTACATATTTGCACAACAGGGCTGGCTGGGTGATCATCAATTTCCATCGTAGCAGTGGTTGAATTCAACAGAAACTAATTAGATAAACATGGCTTTAGAATTTGTTCAGGAGAAAGTAAGGATACACAATGAACTAGAATCCCAAAGGTTAAAAAGAACACAATAGGAACACAATTTATCTGATATTTCGCCCCTTTCAGGGGCTTCTTCAGAGGTAGAATGGCAGTTACAGTTCTACCACTGTTTCAAATGTCTGTCAGGCTTGCCAACACTTCACTACAGTACCCTAAATCACAATATTTAGATACACAGAAATTTAATCGCAGAACTCGAATTGTACTCAGTGGGAACATCAGCTTTTTATCAAGCCCTTTTTCACACTACAACCAAACTATTCGTCAAAAAAGGGTGAGAACAGGTTAGTATTTGTAGCGGTCCCATGAGTGTAGGCGAGTCGTCTCGCTGACGTCACCCTTACACTCATGAGTGACACACACACACACTCCGCTAGTTGTAGCGGTGACGCTACATATTGTATTGGATGAAGTAAGGAACACAACCTTGGTCTTAGGTTTAAACTAACATTCGGCGGAGACCTCTTAATTTATGGACAACCCTTGTAAATTTGATATTTAAGATGTCGACACGTATTAGTCGACAATTGGGAGATGTGAGTGTTGAATAGGTAATATATTAGTTTTAATAATCATCTGGTTTTCTAACTGGAATCATTCAAACACATTTTTTTGTGTTGGTATCACATATATCTAACAAATCATGCCATCAAATATAACATACTAGGTCTGATGATGCCTGGTTATAAAATATTAATGTCTTTTAATTTTTTCAGGTGAACAAAATGAGTTTGGACGAGAAGGTAGAGGGTCGGGAAGAAAGGGAGAGGGAAAAGGACTGCAGCGTGGAGCCGTTCTGTGTGCGAAGTACGGACCCGCGCAAGCCGTCGTTGGCGTACGTCTGTCAACCACCGACAGGCGAGTCGCGCGCCGAGTGGCTACACAACTTGCGCACGATACTGCAGACGCAACGCGACTTCCTCAAGGCCATACAGTCGCCAATCGCGTATCAGAAGGAGCTCGGTCGAGACCCTTTGTAAGTCCATAGCTGTAACTGGCATGGTTCATTAAGTGGTAACAAAATAACACAATAACAACGTGATATGATCTTTCTTTTTCGTGTCATGGTAATCTAATCATTCATGATTTTCAATTTTAGATTTTAAAAGCTTATGAATCATATTACATGAGACTAACAGAAAATTTTTAATAAATTGAATGTTTAAATTTAATTTTTTTTTACATTGATACTAATAATTAAGTTTATTTCAAAGTATTAATTGAAATCAAATTACTCAAAGTCTAATCGTTATGTGAACAATTTGAAATCAAACTATTTACATGAATCCCATTGTCCAAGACAAAGAACCATGCCAAACACAATTCTAGTCATCCCTCAACATATTTAGATAGTAGCATTTTTAACTTAGTTTTAAATAATCACATAAATTATTGAAAGTGACCAAAATATTTTGATATAAGATGCACTAATGTTTGGAGGTTGTATGTTAGCTATAAGTATGTTGGATATAACTATTGTATTTACCGTTTAAAACATTTTGTACAGTAAGTTAGTGTATATTGTTTCATTTGTAATATCGGTTTTTTTGTACAGATTTTGTTTACATTTGTAGATCTTATTGGGAACTGTATAATAGGACTGTACCTTGTTTATATGTAAGAACGTTGAATGTATATTGATTGACGATTGACATGTATTGTGCATTATCTATTAGTTTTGTTTATGGCTTTAACAGTTTTAACGTATAGCCTATGTTATATTGAAAAGGCTTGGAAAATATTTAACAAAACATTGTTAGTTTTTACGAACTGATGTCTAACTTAACTTTGTTTTAAACAATACTTCTGCAGTATAATTTTTAGTCAGATATGGTTAATTTACACATTTAAAACACAATGCGAGTGAACTATATTTAGATAATAAAATGCATTTTACCGAGCTTTCACATTTCCCTGAGTGTTTAAATTTTTTGTTACCAAAATTAATTGCAATATCAACTTGAAAACTGCCATTTTTCAGAGAATAGTTTATGGCCATTTAATTTTATCACAATTGTTCTATGTTATATTATGTTCCCATCATTTTAAAGATTGGTATCAACTGTGGAAATTTACTTTACAAATAATTGTGTAACCATGATTAAATAGTTTTTGTAATTTTTTATTTTATTTTTTATCCAACTACGCTGATCAGTATTAATAATTATCTCACAATTTAAAACCTTTATGCATCCTTTAGTTTGTATTTAATTAATTCTATGTTTATCTTGAAATAATCATTTCAACTGAGATTAGAGTACAGTATTATAATTACATGATCAAGATATATTCGGAACAAGAAGTTTGTGGAAGTATAAGAAAATATTTTTGTCCTCGGTGATTTTTTTTCGAAGGAGCTTTATAAACATTAAAATTTGTGTGATATTCCATTGTACCAATAAACGGGTAAACTTTTTCAATAAGTCTGTATATAATATCACTATGTAGGTAGATAAAGCATCAGTGCGAGCATAAAATATAAAAATATTTAACCCAATATGATTAACAATTGTTTTAAAATACCCCATTTTATAAAATTTAGTATTGATTTATTGAAACTATCATTTCAGTGGATGGGTGGATTTGTTATAAATTCTGCTGATAATATTAGCATAAACCTATTTAAAAAAAAATTTGAATTAACAATTAACTACTCCATTTAGTGCATCGGTTTTTAAACTGAACAACAAATTAATTCTTATCTAAAGCTTTGAGCAACAATGAATATTTGGCTGATTTAACACACAATCACATTTTAACAAAATTCAAAAACTTACAAAATAGTTTTTAAAATGCTTCAAACCATTTTGTATCCACTTGTTCACTGACTGGTGTAAAATTTAAAGCATATGTTAATTACCCCCGCTGTATTGTAGTCCTAGTAGAGATCCGCTTACGTTGCAGGCAATCACGGGTTGTGTTTGTTTGCCAAGTGATATACTGTAAATAGCTCTCTGTATGTTTGTATATAAATAAATATGCTAAGAGTTTTTCAATAAATGTTGTTTTACTCGTTCCTTGACGATCATTGATATAATACGGACTGGAGTGAACTAATTGTCGTTGATATTACTTGCTGGAATGTAGCGCTGGTAGATTTCTCAATTGTCCACTCCAATCCGTATATTCTCAATGCTATGAATTTCCACAACAGTTTTGTTTAGGAGTATCGGTTAGTTTTCTTTTTACCGTAAATTATTAGGTGTATTTTTGTTTCACTTTTTGTTTTGTGTGTGTGCAGTTCTCTCAGCCCCCCGATGCGTCCCCCGAGCCCCCCTTCCCTGGACGAGTGTCCCGTCATTGTCAGCGAACCTCTCTCGTCCAAAACAAAACACCAAAGCAACTTTCTGGAGGGCTTTCGCAACACGCTGAGGCGTGCAAAGAGCGAAGCACCTGAAGTTGAAAGTAACTTTAGTCTGGCCAGGCGATGGTCCGATGCGCACTCGGTAAGAGCATCTCTCAGCATGCGCAGTCGAATCAGCCACCTAAACAGCGCTTAGAACAGTCGGATAGTTTGAAAAATAATTGTAGATTTTAAATATCCCTCCTTGTTTGTAGATATTTTCATAAAACGAGTCTAATGTTGAAAGCTTTTTTATACAAACTGGACCTTTTGAAACCCTTGTGCCTAGTATATCACCTGTAACTTGCTCAGTAGTAAAAATATTTGAAAGCTTTCACTAGAATTTCAAGCATTGATCTTATGATTACGTAATAAGAAATGTATTTTATCAGCTGAAACGCTAAAATCCAGGTTTTTTTTTGTAGATTGAAATAAAATTTGACTCGTAGTTGATGGTGGCTGATGTTGACTAGGTGACGGATAACCTCCGTATTACTAACAACCAGTAACAGCATCGTAGACTCTTCTATATTCTGTAAACTGCAAGTCGCTACTTACATAATTGTATGCTGCATTTTCTTGTATATTCCAACGTATAGTTCTTACTGAGTAACTTTATTGTCCTTAACCATTGTACTTGGCAACATTGGGCATCTGACTAAATAAGTCATGAACAATTTTTGAAATGGAATCCTGCACGAACAAAATTATTACTGTGAGTTTGTTTAGTAACCCTTAAAGGCGTCTTGTTAGCGTGTTAAGCTACATCATAAGTAACTTAACAAGACCTTAACTTCTAACTATTCTAAGAGTTTGTTAGTTCAGCACAACAAAAACAGTTAAAAAGTATGCGTTACTTGTGCTGCTATCAACGAAACTAGCTTCGAACTACTCGAGGGTGTTAGGTTGACATTGTCAGTACGGTAGACCGTTAGATCTCATCATAGGCCGAGCAGTCTAAGGCATTGTATTCCAGACCGAAGAGAGCACTGTTGATAGATGTTTCGAATCATGTGAGCTACCAGCAAGAAGCAAACCTACTATTGTTTGACGCCTCAGGTGGAATGTCACAGGAACGGTGGATTCTGTGTCAATCACACTCCTCGTAAGAGTTTTGCAACTCTATGCTAATCATTTGTGTTTCCACCGTAAACTTGTCTATAAGACAAAATATTTTTAGGTTAAAAAGGTAGGACACATATTAATTTGCTTGAATGAATCAATTAATAATGCACGGTGTTCAAAGAGTTAGGCAAAATAGACAGTACAATTATACAATTACGGAAAGTAAATAAAAGATACGTCTTATAACACTTTAAACATATACAGTGTGTTAATTAAGTATTAAAACAAATCTGTATTTTTAAAACCGAAATACAGTAGATAGAAATATTCTGTTTGTGGCAATAATTGTTAACACAGGTTCCACAACTTTTTACATCAAAAATATTTCTTAAACCCCCTTACAGGGTAGGGGTTGGGGTGACTCATTTTTTCAAATAGCAACCCCTATTGAGTGACCCCTCATTTTGAAGGATTTGTCAAAAGAAACACAATGAAGCAAAACCGAGGGTGATATCTCACCCCTAGCCAAAATGGCAGGTATTCCAAAATTTGATTTACCGTATGTGAAAAGGCATCAATTTCACGAATAATGGAAAGAAATCTGAATTTTTAAACCGAAATAGATAGAAATATTCTGTTTGTAGAATTGATTGTTAACATAGGTTCTGCAATTTTTTACATCAACAGTACAGTAGACTCTTGATAATTTGAAATTGGTGGGCCAAGCACATAAATTTGAATTATCAAGAGTTTTGAATTATCAAGAGTTTGATTTATCGGGAGAAAAATAAACCATTCGAATTACAGAGAGTTAATTTGTTTAATACATACAAAGGTACAGCACGTTACAATAAAACATCATACCGTATTTTAGTACACTTTTAAACAATCAATGGCTTATTTTCAGTTACTGTAGTTGCAAGGAAATCTGTTATTTAGCGCTATATATTTCGCCAATAGCTGAACTATCAGCTGTCGACAACTACGTTTGTGCTCAAGGAGATGTCGCGCAATCTAGAGATCGGATTGCCAACTTAGAAAAACAAGTCAGCAAACTAACTCAGACTACTGCTCTAACTAAACAAACATCAAAACGTCCAACACTAGCCTACCATGGGAACAGGATGTACTGTTCTGTATAGTTTCTTGTTATAACAGGAAGAGATCACTTCGAATTATAGAGTGTTTTGCCGACTAAACTTCGAATTACTGTGTGACTTTGATTTATAGAGTGTTTTTTCGATGAAACTTCGAATTACAGCATTACTTCAAATTATAGAGTGTTAACCGACAAAACTTCGAATTACTGAGTTACTTCGAATTATAGAGTGTTTTTCCGACGAAACTTCGAATTACTGCGTGTTACAAATTGACCTGCCCTCTATTTGGACTTTGAAATACCGAGTGTATCAAAATGCATAGTAAAAATTTGAAATATTGAGAGATTCTCTAGGGACTAAGCCTTCATTTTGAATTATCGAAAGTTTTGAATTATCAAGTGTTTGAATTACCAAGAGTGGACTGTATTATTTCAACCCCTTTAACAGGGTAAGGGATAGGGGTGACTTATTTTTTCCAATAACAACCCCTATTGAGTGACCCCTCATTTTAAAGGGTTTGTTAAAAGAAAATCAATGACGCAAACTCAAGGTAGATATTTCACCCCTAGCCTAAATGGCGGGTATTCCAAATTTTATTTTTGTAAAAAGCACCCATTTTGAAATATCAACCATTTTGTCTAGGGGTGAGACATTCACCTCGGATTTGCGTCATTGTGTTTCTTTTGACAAACCCTTCAAAATGAGGGGTCACTCAATAGGGGTTGCTTTTTGAAAAAAATAAGTCACCCCCTAACCCCTACCCTGTTAGGGGGTTTAAAAAATATGTTTGATGTAAAAAGTAGCGGAACCTTTGTTAACAATTATTGCCACAAACAGAATATTTCTATCTATTTCGGTTTTAACAATACAGATTTGTTTCAATACTTAATTTACACACTGTATTTACGCTTATACTGTTACTCACAAGTCGGTAAATATACAAAAAAGATGGTAAGTGGTGATCGATTTCGATTGGACACTCCAATCATCATCAGACCCAATAGGCAAATGACCCTAGAGGAAGGAAAGGAGTCACAAGACGAAATTAAGGTATATTAACCTCTTATTATATGTTAAGTGACTCGAGACTACAAAAAATTAACTTATGAAAAACCCACAAAACTTATCTCTGACAGAAAGAATAAAGCATTTCTCACATTGTCATGAAACTTTTACTTCTTGGCTCTTGAGCACTGTTTTGTGGCTCTAGGTGATTAAAAGGTTTCCCCTGGGATTTTTTCTTCTTGTAGCTTATAACAAAATTATGTAAGAATACCAGTACCAATAAACCAACATATTCTTTTTTAACTAACATCAGGTTTTTCCAATAGGAGGGTCGCCTTTACTAAACTTTTCCCTATGCAAATTGTATAGGATTTTTGACGGTTATTTAAATGAGTGTTGTCCATGTCATACACGCACATAGTAAACAAAAATTCATCTTTATATACTCTTAGTAAGGGAACGACTCAACCTAACCTATCTTCTCATCAATCTGTATGCTGTGGTTGACGTGTTTTGACGAGAGCCAACTTCTTCCCGACTGAACATAGCCTTATCTAACCTACTTTCACTTACATAGGGCAAATTTTACTTGTGGCGGCCCTCTTGGAAAGACCCCTAACATCTTTCTACATGCATGAATGTAAGCATATGGTAGTAACGCCTGTTGTTCGTACAGCCTAGTCAGTAATCAACGTGCATGCGGTTCCTCAACTCTGTGATAGACAATGGATGTGAATGATTAGTGCGACGGTGGAAGTGACTTAGTGCGCGTGGTCGATCGGCAGACTGTGCTAGTGCGAAGCGACGACGCCACACTGCAGCTGTGCGACCACGAGACAGGCCAGTGGCGGACGACAGAGACAATGCATAGCCCCGACGGACGAGTTGTGACTGGTCTGAGCGCTGGTCACACCTACAGCTTCAGACTGGGCGACAGATGTGCTTGTGTCACCATTCCACATGAGACTAGGTGGCAGCAGGAGCAGTTCGAACGGAGATACCAGCAGCTACATGTTATTGGTGAGTCAGTACCTAATTAGAAGACTACCATAAAATTCTGAGAGAAGTCAAAACTTATGTTTTGCAACTGGGCTCAGTTTCTTTGACCATTGGGCATTTGAATAAATAATACTGGCTAAAAAACAGCAGATCTTAATAAAAAGCTGTCATATCATTTATTCAACAATCTTCGCCTTAACGAAAAATATAATAATAATACACATGGCTTATCGTAAGTAAGGGTTGGTTGTAAATTTATTTTCAGGGTGTTAATATGACCCTCAGATTATATTGCAAGGACTCGGCCATACGGTCACCTTTTGGTTTAACTCATAAAAACAAATACAATATAGTTTGATGAAGAGTAAAATAATCAACACATTTAACTAATTGTCTCCAAAAATCTGGTTTTGAACATATTACTTTGAGCTTACACCTGAAAATTAGTTTTGTGACTATTTATATATCTGCTCTTAACGCAACAAATTAAAAGTCTGTTAATGACTAATAATTATTTATTTTGGTATGTTTCCCCTTGTAAGGTCGAGGCAGAACTGCGGTAGTACGGAAGGCACGGGACCGAGGCACGGACCAGCGAGTGGCACTCAAGCAAGTCGAGCGCCGTCGAGTGCCCCAGCTGGTCACCAGGGCGGAGTACAACCACCTGGTTGCACTCAACCATCCAAGCCTCATACATGGGCTGGCGTTGTTTGAGAACGCACCTTCACTGGGCCTAGACACCATTGTCATGGAGTTGTAAGTAATCAAATCAAATTTACTGGGTCGTCCAAGGATGCTAGGTTCTAGCTTGAAACCACTTTACTCATTACTTCTGGCTAGGTCTAGGAGGTTGCGGTATTGTCACATAACGTCATTGATGTTCTGCAGGAATTGATCCTTGTTGAAACCCCGTACTAACTATAGACCGTGTGATCCACAGTTGATCACCAATTATGTTCATTTCGTTCTAAACTGGCATGAGATCAATATTCAAAGCTTGTGTTTATCTGGACAGTTCGTATGATTCTACTTCTTTACAAGTGTTAGATTGAACATTGTTGTTTTGCAGAGTGGAAGGTAAGGATGTACTGAGTCACATGTGTTCTGTGACCTCTGTTTCGGAAGGTCACATACGTGACATCACACACCAACTGCTCTCTGCCTTGGAGTACCTTCAGAGGCTTCAGATTGTCCATTGTGATATTAAGGTGAGATTTACGCTTCATTGTAAATTATGTGTGAGCCTACAGTTTTACTGTTATTTTAATCTCTGGGAGTGCATTTAGTCCATGCAAGGTTCATAATATTCACAAATGGTCCTTGAGGGAAGAATTCACTCCTCTTGTGAGCTCCTCAGTTTTTGTTACTTGTTACTGTTCACCTCAGATTTATAGTGATTCAATCCAACTAAAATTTAGGGTTATCATCACTATGTTTTTACAGCCTGAAAACCTGCTGGTGGAAAGTCATGGAAGTCAGTTCCAACTGAAAGTAGTTGACTTTGGCTCCGCTCGAACTCTCGGCCTGGCTCCACCACAAGTCCCCGATCTGGAGTTTGCTGCTCCGGAGCTTCTAATGGAGCCACCTAGCATCTCTCTCGCCACGGACGTGTGGAGCTGTGCCGTCTTGATTTACGTTTTGATCAGGTAAACTATGTTGCAACTAATGGAATTTTGTTGGGATAGGCTTAACTAAAAGGAAAAGAGTCCACTTCTTCACTAGAAACATTACACAAGAATATGAATATTTGGATTTCACTCACTGCACTTTTAATCAAGATTAGGCTTTGGCTTACTAAATGCAATTTCCTGGCCATTGAACTAGAAGACTCCATGACACATCAAGACAAGGTTCAGGTGTTACAGGATGAAAAGTTTTCTTTCACTGCTTAGAATTAATGTTAGTTACTCATTTGTTAACATGTTTTCCTTTTTTAATGACGTTTGAATGTGCCTAATTTAATGTTTCCACTGTGGCGTTTAGGCTACGTTGTTGGGGATTATGGTAGATTGATTGATTGTAACAACCAAACCGTTTGTGTAGGAAATGACAACTGGATCCCTTTATTTAATAAGAGGAGACAATTTATCGCTAATCACAGGCACAAAGAGCCAGCTTTGATGAATATTAATATTTATTGAACCATTTTAACTACAGAAATACTATTGTCGTTGAATATATGCAATAATTATTTGACAACTGAGCACAACGTGAACTAAGAATTGAGCTAAATATCTATATAATTAATACGCGACATGAAACTTTGTCGGTTGAACTCCTCCGCCATTTCTTAACCGATTTTATCCATTGACGTCTCATTGGAAAGAGCGTGTCGCGTAGATTTGCAAACTGGCCTTACATTTTAGAAAAAGTCCCTTGGGCTATGCCCTAGTGGCTATGAAAGTTCCCATGTTATCCAATGTTCATTTAATCCATATGAAGAACGTAATTGTTTACATTTTGATCAGCTGTATAATTTATTTGCTGTTATTTATTTTTCTATTCAATGAAACGCATTGAGTACATTTATTTACTATTTGATTTGAGTTTGTGTAAACATAACCACCAAGACGGATCGTGTTAGTATGGTTATATCTTAAATTTGTGTATTTATCTTTGTTTTGTGTCGCTATGACGGATCGTGTTAGCATGATTGTAAGTTAAATTTTTGAATATATCGTTGTTTTGTATAGCTATAATTTGTTTATTTGTTGTTTTTTTTTTTCTTTTAAATGCCTCTGACTCGACGACAACGAAACCTAGACAGGAGGCGTAATCGTGATAACGACCGCAGCTACAGAACAGTGGCGCGTAATAGGCTTAACTCATCCCAGTCAACACATGACTCTGGACAACCTCAATTATTAGGTTACAAATGCGCCCTAACACTACCCCAAAACGACTTTTCGTTCTCAATTGACCCTCTATCAATGACCTGTGTTGACTGTGTACAGCGAGGCATTTTGAGAAGGAGAAAACCGGCCGGAATGCTTTAGATCTATCAATAACGAAGATAAACATGGTCTGAGTTACACTCCGGTATATAAACTCATTGTAAATATGACTGTTATTCGTTTTGAAATAACTCCTGTTATACTGAGCAATTGCTCGAATTCGAGCAACATGTACACTAGTTGATATTAAAAGCTGACACTAGAAATAAGATAGGCATTTTTGACTACAGAATCTGAAAAGAACAATTATGGAAATTTAGAGTAATTACACATATAACACTGTACCTCTCATGGCGCCTTATACCCATATCCTAACATTTAGCAGAGGTCCATGCTGTGGGTTCGACGGCAGCACCAAGACAGACTCAGGTTCACCCTACTCACCTCACATGTTTGCTGCGCATGCGCGAGCATGGTCGTGAGTTGAAGAGTGCCTTCTTGGCCGGACATTTTAGGTAGATCAGGCTGTGGAGGCTGAGCTCCACACCACAACTTAGCCTATTGTAAATATTTTAAGTGAATGGCTAAAGATATTATTTAATTTGAATGGATATGACTGAGAAACCGATTACAGTAGAACCTTGATCTCTCATGGGGATGATCAAGGTTGACTCCTTACCAAGGATTGTGATAACTTATATATAAGGGTAATAAAAATTTAAGGACATTTACAAATGACACTTATTATCTAGGGGTGACTGTTATCAAGGTTCTTCTTAATTATGGTTTCACTGAATAATCAACCGTAGCGTTGTTACAGTGGAGTGTCCCCGTTCCTGGACGACAGTCCGGAGGAGACTACGGCTAACATATTGAAAGCAGACTTCAGCTTCCTCCCGGAGCTGTTCCCTTCCAGCTCCGGAGATGTGCAGCAGTTCCTGTCTAGTCTCCTGGTGCGGGATGTCGTCTCAAGACCCTCCGCACAAACGGCCCTCTCCCTCCCATGGCTGCAGACGGTAGGGAGAACACTCATACTGCTTACTTGTCAGTATTGACTCGAAAACATCTTAGGGCGGAATTGTTGGGACTTTTTGGTTACGGAAGCATCATTGTGACATAAGCTTTTGTATACTGAAGTTGATACCTCATCTGGACTAGATATAACAAGGTTCAAAGATAGGGTCATTCTTGTTCTTAGTTAAGTAAAAGAAAAATCCAAATGTAAATTCAGATTCACAGATGACCCAACAGCAATAGTAAAAGGTAAAAAAAAAAATGAATTGGCACTTAATATATCTTCCTCTGTTCTAAACACTAGTTTCTGGTTGAGTAGAATTTTCCGCTTCATCAAACAGGTTCAAAGAATTAATTTCTTCGGCTCCCAACACTAACATTGACCTTACTATCTGATAATTCATGAAAAAAACCACACACTCTGTCCTCTACACACACACATACACGTAGAAAGAAGGATGTGGCTGACAGATGACAGATCCTGCTAGCGTACATGAGAAGTAAGAATATTTCTCCACGCGAATTTCACGCTCCTCTAAGCTCTTGTTGTTAGACAGGTTGGTTGGGTTGCAGGGTCCCATGAGCAGTCAGTGTTAATGTTTTTCTAAGAACGCCTTAGGAACCTATCACAGTAGGGCTAAAAATAATTGCACTTTAATTATTTTAGTCTTTTGGAGTCACTAAGTAGTCAAATGTACTCAATCTTGTAAGTTATTTTGACATTATGTTATCATTGTTTATCATATAACATCAGCTTAACTGTTTACAGGTGACGTCGAGTTTCAACATCTGTCCATCTCGCCTCGCAACATTTATAACAAGAAGAAAACCGCCTTGCTTGAGTCAAGATACCATTTAAGCATTTCCATTCGCCTCCAATACATTTTTTTAATTAATGTGAATAATTGTATGTATGTAAAATTGTGTACATTTAATTTAATTATAAATCCAAAGAATTTCTTTACATAAATCTGTTTTTTATTTACCAAGTCTTACTATTTTACACATCTCTCTAAAAACCTCTGAACCACAAGTTGTGAAAAAATTCAGTTTTTAAAAGTCAACTATAATAACAATGATGCAGCAAAATATTTAAACCCAAGTGTTGACCCCCTCATAACTTTTTAAACTCATTTTAAACAACCCTGTTAATGTTAAAAATATATGTAACATATGTTTGGTAAAATTTTTAGGTAAAAAAAATATAATTTCGAAAATTAAAAAAAAATAAATAAGTTCGCGCTCAATGAAATTGTATAAATTCCAAAAAAGATTATTGTAGTATTTTCTTATCATAATAACGATTCTTGGTTTAAAAAATTAAAACGGCTAACATTTTGATGTTTTACATTGGAAAATGTAGGTTCTTTCCAAATGTTAGTGACACCTGACACTAGAATAAAGATTTGTGAAAATGTCAAATTAACAGATTCAACAGTTATTGATAAAATACCCCCGCCATAGCATGAAGACTAAGCAAATTTCCATTTGCCTGATTCGATTTTTACTTAAATCTATTTAAATAACATTAGGTTGAACGAGTACCTAGATTTTCCACTCACTACAGGGAGGGTAATAAAGTGTGTTTTTTTAGTAAAATATCAACAGCTAAGTATAAAATAAATAAATTTGCCAAGTTTGACCAAAATATATATCTATAAACAAGCAAACTACAACTGTTTACTAAACTTATTATCTATAAAAATAACATGGAAATTTTAAATTAAACATTTTTTGAATTTTCTCCGTACTAAAACAAAACACTTTATTGTACGACTCGATTTTTAAGTTCTTCAAGAGAGAAAATTGGGAATTTTACGTTTGAGGGTCAAAAATGAGAAAACCCCTATTTTTACCCTACCCATGGTCCGATCATGTCGGTTCGCAAACTCATTTGAGTAATTGTAGGTTTACACATTTGTACTAATTGGATGATTTTTGCTTTGGTTTTTTATCGTGCTAACGGACATTAAGATTGTGTATTTGGCTTCTGGGGACATCGAATTGAAAAAGTAAATTGGTCCCAGGTCCAGGTCTTACTATGAGAAGTACGACAATAGCTTATTCCCTATATGGGAAATTCGCTGATAACCTATAATAATAACACATGAGTTTGTTTAATCCATGTAATGATAAACAAACTTAGACTAGGAGAATTTAGAGGGGATCATATTTGTATGTATACAAATATAAACAACAGGAAAAGTTGTGAGTTAAAAGTTTATTTTTCTCTTTACAAATAATAATATTATATTATAAAATATGTTCAAATATTACACTATACACAAGTAGCATTTACAGGATGTCGTTTACTTCACCATGAAATAAATTGTAGTGGTGTTAAAAGTATGATACAAAATCCTGAGCTCCGCCCTTCCCAGCACCCCCAACTGAAACATGAAGCACTGACAATTATTATAAATAATTGATCAAACATAATGATTACCTTATCCAACCACAGTTGTTGGTATGTCGACTCGTTTCATTCCTCAGAACTTCATCAGGACATGTTGTGATGATGTAGTGATCCTAAAAGATCACAACATCAGCAATCCAGTAATGCGGAACATTTAATATCGGAATCACACAACTACACATCTATTGATAAGAACATGGAAATAGATGCATTACCAAAGTATAAGTAAAGTGTTACCAAAAAGTTTAAGCTTGATGTTAAAGAAGAGTTTACCCTCTACAAAGCTAAAAAACTCGACCCATGTAGCATTTTAAATGATCAGACTTATTTCCAGTCAATACATTTGATACATATATTTCCAAGTTACAAATCAGCAGAATAAAGCAGAATAAAGTTTGTTTTAACTTTAGTAAAAAAAAATAATAACAAAACAAACTGAAATACAGGTGGCACTGGAGAGAAGAAGAAACATCATTATTCAGTCAGTTTTATTTAGTTGGTGGCAATGATAAGACAGTAGCCTATACAGTTTTAATCAGTTTTATCACTTTTCATTCCATTTTAACTATTTTATCAACATGAAAAGTTTCAATTAATGTGATTGTGGAATTTCTTTAAAAGAATCTATTGACATTGATGATGTGGTTGCATTCAAATTGACCTGATGAAGTTCTAAGGAACGAAACTAGACGTCACACCAACAACTGTGGTTGGATAAGGTAATCATTTTATTTTATCAATAATATATTCCAACCATGGGTCACAATGAATATTAATTATAATAAATTTAATTGCTTACCTCAAAATAATTTTCTTGATTTAAATAACTTTAATCCGTTTTTATCAAAATTTTACTCATGATTTTTAGCATAAATTTGTAATATAATATTTCATAACAAGAGTAGAAAGTGGGGTATTTTACATATTCGAGACCATATTTGAACTTTTCTTTTCGCTATACTAAAAATACCTAGCAGCAAAGGAGAAATCGATAATTAACCCTAAAATAATATATACAAAACTTTGTCGACACTAGCCATCAGTGTCACTGGACATGAACTAGACATTAAAAACAAGCTTCAAAATTTACAATGGTATGAGACGTCTACTTGTGTTGGTTAGTCAATGGTAACACTCAAAGTTGGCTCAAGCATTCTTGAATTCATTACTAAAGAAAAATATGCAGTGTCAATTGTGAATTAGGCTGATTGTTTTTTTAAGATTTATTATAAATTCAGGATTTAGGACTATCTGACCTGTAACGAGTTTGAATATCATAATAAAACAGTTTATTACCAGACAAATTCAGGACTTACCACTTAGTGTTGCTACAGAATTTGCTGTAGATTTCTCCTGTGCATCTCAGCTATTCGGGAACTACGGCGTACTTTCTGAGGTGTTGGCTCCACTTCTTCAAACTGATCATCAGAATCATCACGGTCCTTGTGTTTGTAGCCCCAGACCACCACGGAATAGTCCCACTGTCAACAAAACAAACAACTTAGCACTTCATTGGTTACTAATTAGTTCAAACGTTAAGCCCTAAAGGCTGAAATAAGCCGTCATGAATACATGACAAACTGACAAACTAACTCTGGGTAGTTAAGTGGTTATAGTGCTCGTTTTTAAATTTGAAGGTCTCAAATTTGATTCTAAGCTAGATTGAATCTGGACCCATAGGCCGTTTGTCAATGGGCAATGGTGCTAGCAAGACCGATTTTTTTTGTCCTAGGACGTTAGGCACAAGCCTGGGATTATTTTTCACATTACTTCAGGCTAGACCTAGGGGTTGCGGCATTATCAAAGATAAAATCCATTGGTGACTTGGCGGGGATCGAACCCGGGACCTTAGGGACCAAAGTCCCGCGCTCTAACCACTAAGCCAGCTCGCTCCCCAAAAAACCCATATTAGATAGTGATAAGACTAAGGTTTTGACTTATAGTCTTGATTTGAACCCTTAAAAAACATGAAATTCCAGTGGTAATGAACCGCAAAATAAAAAAAAAATCTTCACTTACAACTATCCTGGATTAAAGTATAACCATCAACTGTAACTACATAAAAACCTGACGTACTACAACCAGAGAGACAAGCTTTGAACTACAACTAAGTGGATAAAACTCAAAATAATTAAGTTTGCTAACAAAATTCCACCCTTCTGTCAAACAATTTGGAACCTCAATTCTCGTTTCCTCATAGAATAGTACAGTAGCCTCCCTCTTATCCGGACACCTTTTACCGGACATCGGTTTAACCGGACTACACTCGGCGGAAATGACATCTCTTTAACCGGAAAAATTGTATCAGCACATTGGTTTAACCGGACTAGATCGGCAGAAAGTGGGCGGTACTGAAACGACTGTTCTCGTGGGAAAGATTTGAGACCAGTGATGACGTGTCTAAATACAATGCTCTCCTAAATTTAAGTTGAATATTACAGTAAACGGTCCATTTTAACAAGTTTTGAGTGACGTCGGTTTAACTGGAAAACCCGTTATCCGGACTGGCCTCGGTCCCGAGGAGTCCGGATAAGAGGGAGTCTACTGTAGGCTACGTTACAAGGTTGGGAAATAGCTGTTGACAGTGCCGAGCATAAGCCTCATGCATGATTTCAAGCGACCATAATACCTCCCCACACTAGTCACGTACAATACTTTTTGCCACACTACTGGCAACAATACAGGGTAAGTAAAACATAACCTATACATACAATAATACTGTTTAACACATACCATTTTACCAAACTTTTTTAAGGTGACGTTTCAAAGTATAAGGGTTTAAAACATTACCAAATAAATATTTCAAAAAAATAACTATATTTGAATAAATAAGTCGTTTAAAAAATATTTTTTTGAAAATACAATTTGCCTATCCAAACTTGTTTAATATTTATTGTATAGCTTTGTCGTGACCATACTAAAGAAAGTCATATTACACTTATTTAATTGCTCTGTAAGAATGATCGGTGAATATACCGTACTCCAGCTGACTTTACCGTATTCATTCCAGCTGACTTTACCAGTTCCTTTCTGTATAGAACTACTTTCTAGTCTACAAAGAGGATAGAAAAGGACATTGTAGTGAGGCGAAAAGTTCTAAAAAATATGTAATAAATCATCCCAGTGTTACTTACCGAGGTACTTGCAAGCTCAGGTCGATAAGGATGCCAGGAGACGTCTCTTACACAACCTCGGTGACCTTTCAATACTTTGACTATCTCTCCAGTCAGTAGGTCATATACTGCAAACACAAATACATTACTTGGAGGTCAAATTAATACAAAATCCCATAACAACAACAATTACTAACTCAATAATTATTTCGGCACCTATACTGGACATAGCTAACACTATCAAAATGTAGTGAAAGACAGCTACAGTCTCAATACACTAGAAATTTCTAATCTCAAAGCCGAAACCGAAACTTTGAAAAATCAAATCCCGAATCTCGAATCTCAAAACCTAAATGCGAAACTTCTGGTTACAAAGGTCAAGGTTACAAAAAAAAAACACATAATCATAAAATGTTAAGTATGCAATCAAAACTGAAAGAGATCAACTCCTGACCGTGACATAACATAAATATGTGAATGTGACTGATAATCTTAAAACCCAATACAACATAATTTTTCATAAACAACTAACAAAAAAATTTAACTTCTAACACCAAAATAAACATGAATATTACATTAATTAGAACCTTTAGTGGTCAATATTTCTTTTTGTTTATTAAATATTGACTAGTTAACCGCCCGTGCTCCGCCACGGGAATATTGTCAGCAATAAAAGAAATAATAATTAACAAATACTGTTTATCTTTGTATTTTATTTAGGGGTTGTTTAATTTTTTCCATGAAATAGAACTGATAGTTTGCCTGTATAAACTATTTTATGTTAATCAAACCGATATGTTATTTTAACCAAATGAATGTTTGATATTAGTTCGAGTTTCATTTGAAAAATAAATAGTATACGAACTGGGCAAAGCTGATAACCTAATAAGCAGCTATTTATGCTATTTAGATCATTTGCTCAAGTATATTCCTATATTCGTCTTTTTTTTCATTACATTTGTTGTATGGAATAAAGATAGTCACTTAGCCTACATGTAAATCACGCATCAGCAGTTGGTCGCATTTCACGAACCTTTGACCCATACTGTGAGTAAAAGCTGTGTTTACGTCGTATATATAAAGTTGGGCATACTTTGTTCAATGTTAGAGGGTATTAACGGTCCAATTTGATGGAAAAGGAGTCGTGGATTTTAAAACTATGTAGACTACCACTACCAGAAAGATGTTGATTCAAGTGAGACTTAGAACTGGCCATTTCAAATGTAGATTTGTATTATATTTTACTCAAATGGTTTTTTGTCTCTTTTGACCCTTAATACTTTTTTTATAGTCGCTGTTGATAAGATTTTCCATAAACTCAAAATGTTGATAAGGAGTTCATTTTACCTTCCTCTTGTGACAACATAAGGAAAAAATATTTGTGTCCCAGTTAGTCTGTTCTGACTCAAAATTCATAGATTTGCAGTACTGACAAATCCAATCTAACGACCCCAATTGAAAAAAATGTTATTTTTTAGAAGGGACTTCCAGAGAACATTTAACACCAACACTGCTCTTTACCTTTTTAGTTCGATGGTTCTCTAAATTTTTTTTTCGTTCGGTTTGTCTCTTTACGCCCGGTTAATGATTACTTTTTCTTTTTCTTTTTGTACTTTTCACACCCTGGGGTTAATGATAAAGTTTTATAACGCTATAATGACCCGAGTCAACATTGCCAGTAAACATCAAGTCACATACTTCTTCGCCAGAACCGAATGGTAAGTCAGTTTCTCAAGCAACTTCCCTGTGTACTTGAAAAAAAAAAATTCACTGATATATTGTAGTTCCACGTATCCCAGCGTACTCGCCATCTCGAGAAGGTAAAATTTGGTACCACTGAACGTTTAACACTGATCTTGAGTAAGATTCGTCACCTACCATAAAATGTTTGTATGTTTCCCACTCATTAGCAATTATATTTACATCTTGCAAGCAGATTTCCCCATGATTATTCTGGTGGCCGTAGAGAATACATTATATTTATCAAAACAATAAGTTTCCGTTCCCTACTATGGGTATTATTTCACATTCCATACTCAAACTTAAACTCAATTACCACTTTCCTTCAGATCACTTTGCAGGAAAACTAAAACATTTCAAAAATAAGCTAACAAATACACTTTCCTTGATCAAAATCGTGTGTTTATAAACAGAAACTCCAAGTTTAATAATTGCATACTGAAAGTGAGGTTATAAAAATAATAACAAATGTCTGACAAACATTAAACAGCTGATGAATAATTTATAAACTGTGTATCATATTCTTCAATAAGAATTGTATTGACTCGACCTTTAAAGGGCTGTAGGTCGTAGCCCTTAGAAAAAACGTAAATTCTAAGGAAGTTCGGCAAATCTACACATTATCCCCTTTAATTTGAGACATAAATCTTGTAGATCGGTCCAGTAATTACTGAGAAAACAGTGTTACAACTGTGTATTAAATATATAGATGTGAAACTGAATTGTACCAGTTATAGTATTTAAGATACCTTTTGAAGTTCAGAATAAAATTTACTTGCTTCATTACTGTTAATGGTGATGTTTGCTCTGTTTCTACCAGCTTGTTTGGAAACAGCATTGAAAACAATAACAATGGCACAAAAAAATGTCAGCAGTTTAAAAAATAAAACTGTCAAAATTTTCAATTTCAAAACTTTTGAATCTTGAAACTTGGTGATCGAATCTCGAAACCGAACTTTTCCTAAGTTTTGATGGTTTTGAGATTTGAGATTCAGTTTTGACACATCACTACAATGCACATACACTTACAGTGCCCAATTGACATGTAGACAACCTGAGCTCATGTTTGACTAAAAAGTAAAAAGTGTGCATTGTTAAACAACGCATGTCACAACACGCCACTGATGCATAGCCAAGGTTCACTGGCAGCGGACACTTGTAAGACGGCATGGTATTCTGGTGTCGCCAGAATATATAGGCCCAATGTGAAAGATCTTCTGCTCCTGTACGGTTTTTAACACGGCAAAGACCTAAAGTGAAAGAAGCACAACACTAAATTCTGTGCTCCATAAAGTCAATTACAATGTGTCGTGAGAGACTTACTGACGACTCTGCCGGAAGCACAGCCTGTGTAGATGAACCTCTGTCCCGTGGTGTGTGACGGAGAGAAGTGACACCTGATGAGAGTCTGCAGCACCGAATGTCCTCTGTAGGTCATCACTGAAGTGTCCCCCTCCAGATTGTCCTTGGGGTTTATCACTAAAAAACATATCGCCTCATGGTTATGTTAGGTCACATGAGTCTAGATTTCAAACCCTAAAAAAAGAGGTTAGCTTACTTGTCAACAGAATATTATCTAAATAGACCTTTTTAACATGTTAAGAGTGTGCTAGTATATTTCATGACTAGGGCCTAAAGTGACTCTTTTCGACCCGAGCTCAAGTTTTACTATTGAAGCGAAGCCGAGGTGTATTGCATATTGCACCATTATTTGATCAAACTATGTTACAAGACTAAAATAGTTTTTATTTAAAGATATTCTCTCAAAACTACTTCTTACTTGTTTTCAATTTAATTTGTTAATGGAAACAAGCAGCTGTTCAGCAAGTGATTTAATCGTTTCCTCTATTACCAATACAATTGTGTTAGTATGTGCATTATACTATTGATATTTTGAGCTATTTGCAATAAGGCAACAACTAACTACAATCGATTAAACAATCTATTCATACTTTCGATACATGCAATAATTTTACAACAGCAGATTTTTACTCCCTAGGGGCTAAAAACAATTTTTACTCCCTAGAGAGTGAGAGTAAAAATGCTACTAATAGTATTGAGCATGCATAAAAAACAGTTATTTTTGCTGCAGTATGACGAAAAAGTTGTTTTTTGGTTCTAGGTACCTGAAGCATGGTAGGCCAAAAAAAACTTCACCCCTTCTTCCCTTAACATTAGTTCTCTAATCAACACACCCTTAAATACAAGTCTAGCTCACAGAATATCTAGTAAGAATATAACTTTTACAGTTATTTTCAGTTATAGAAGTAACAAGAGCTTTTGGTATAAACGTACACTTTTTTGGAGCCTTCTGCCAACGATAGTCCCAGTTTTGTTCCGAGACGACTTTCCTGGTGAACTCTTGAGCGTCTTCTGAAGAGAAGACTCTGACGTCCCACAGTTTGATGCTCTGGTCCTTGCTGTTGGACAGCAGATAGCGACTGTCGCCCTTGGAGTCGATGTATGTGATGCCGTCCATGTGTCCCGCCAACACTCCCACAGGCCTCGGATTGGTCTCGTTCAGCGTCCTTCTATCCCACACCTAACCACAACAAACCAATGGTTATAGAATTTCGGGAGAAAGCACACTTTGCTTGTAAAAATAACACAAAATAAACAAAAAATACTAGCAAAAAATGTACTATCACAACATTATGGAAGAAGGAATGGATACCCAACTAACTTACCTGAGAACAGTTAAAGGCAGTTGAAATCACAAAAAGTTCAGAGTAAACTAATTATATTTAACCCCTACAAAAGGGCATCTTAAGAAGTAGACCCTTCGAAATTATTAAAATAAATAGAAAACAAAGTTTTCATTAAAAAAACTTGATTACCCTTAGTTAGATAGGCCTTAGTTTTGTTTTTTTACTTAAAAGACTAAGTAGTCCACTTAAAACAAGGGTTAATTTCAAAATAGACAGATACAGTTCTTAACCTTTTCAATAGAATGAACATTTTTAAGTATGGAGTCTCATTAATGTTATTAATATTATTGTTATTACGTATTTTTATTTTTATTTTTAAAAACTTTATATTCATAACTGTAGTTACATCATATGTAGCTTGTTAATTTAAGATCGATGTGGAATACTGCAGACAAGCCTTTGAGACTTTTGCAGCTTGCTGGAAACTAATGTTTAAAACTTAATTTTTGTATTTGAATTAATAAACATTTAAAGAAAGAATGCAGTAAAACATACCTTAACCAAACCATCGTCGCCCCCACTATACAGTATCTTTGATGTGCTGTCTGCGAATGCGACTGTGTTAACATCCTCACCGTGGCCGTCGATCTGTAAACAAACTGCAATGAAAAGATGCAAAAATTAATTCTGCTACTTAAAATGAATAGGCCTAGTTTCATTATGATAGTTGTTACATCATATAGGCTTAAAGGGAGATAAGATAATTTATATTCCAAAAATAACAATCGCAATGACATATAGTGAGTAGTGACTAACAACAGTAAAAAGGAAAATATCCCCACAAACACATATCATCTGTGTATAGGGTGAGTCTTCATTGTCGCTTACCACTTTGCATAAAATACATGTGTGTTTGGTGAAACAATAAATTACATGACTTACATATATATATATATCTAAGTCTACTAATAAACTAACAAAAAGTAGAAGAAACCTCAGGCAAAACAATGACAAATTTTCTGAAAATGCAACATCATTTTAACATTTTACTGACAATAGTTTACAAACCCTCAAAGTCCTCTGATTGCACTCCAGATCGTACACATAAAGATAACCGTCGTTAGCTCCTCCAAGAATCTCCGTCCCGTCGGATGAAAACACCGTGGAAAATATACAAAACCTCCGATCTTCGGGGTTGAGTGGCAAAGCTTCATGGTTCTCGGGGTCCGATATCCGACACAGGTGTACTGAAACATTTGTTTGAAACTGAGAAAAAACTGTAGAAACATTATTAAAGACGTAACAACCGACTCATAGACAGATTTTATTACTAAGAGACTCTAAACACATATTTATTCAATCAATCATGACATTAATTTACGTTATCTTGAGAAATTGAAGTGGACATCATCTTCACTGTATAGTATAAATATTAATTTTTTTTATAAGCCAGGTTCTCATTTTGTCAGATAAGCTTGCTGAAGTATAGATGAAGAAAAATATTCCATGCAAATAAAAGAGTGAAAAACAACTTACAACTCTCAGACCAGCTGGAGTAGACTATCCAACGGCCGTCCGGACTGAATGTTGTATCTACGATACTCCAGCCTACGTCTCGTGCTTGAATTTGACTTGAAAACTTCAAACCTTCACACTTTGTCTGGTACAGCCTGATGTAGCGATCTAACACAAATTACACACAGTTAGACATTAGGTGCTTGCAAACTTATACCAAGAATGTTTACAAGTATTCCAAAATAATTAATGTACAGGGTATCCCAAAGGTAAACAGACAGGAAAATTGTTTGATGTGTCAAAATAAGAGAAAATTAAGGATAAAAATTGTTCTAAAATTGCTTTGTTAACTAGACAGGCATCCACCATTTTGTATTTTTTACATATAAACATGTTTAAGCTGAGCCAATTCTTGAATCTTAAATCTGATGAAACACATAGCAAGGAATTAAATTTTTACAACTTTTGTGTTTAAAAATCTTTATCACAAATGGTTTTATAAAATCAGTTATTAAGGTAAAACTGTGAAAAGTTACTTTTTTCTCAAGATTCAAGATCTTTATTTGTCACTAAGCAATACAAGTATTACAATAGACATCGTAAGTTTTTTTTTTTTTTTTTTTAGTAATACATACAGTTAATTTTCCTGTTAGAGTAGGCCTAACAGCAAGAATGCACCAAGTGAGTAGCAATCACTCTTCTTTAAAATATAACAGTCTGTGCCTCAAAACAAGGCAATTTCCAGCTAACTACGGTTACCAAGTTTTTTATCTATAGGCCTAAAGCCAAAAGTACCCATGAACTTTTGGGAAAACTACAAGTCACACCCCCATAAACCATACTTAAAATGTTCGTCATGACGAGAAACCTTGCGCAAAACTAAATAGATTGCCCTTTAAGGTCATAATTGCTTTCCATGTACTTAATGTTAAAAATACCTCAGCTGTTCTTATTTGTATGTTATTCTTTCAATTTATTACCTTTGTGATTATTTGTTTGTAATGCTGCATTCAGTTTTGTTTATTTCTCAATAGTTTTATTAATACTTATGAAGTAAAACGGGTTGAAGCCCGTGGGTAACAGCTAGTTTCATTAAAGAGAAATATATTTTACTTAATAAAAATGCATAAATCAATAGAAAGTTTTTAAAAACACAAAGTGCTAAAAGTACACACTTCATTACATTTTAGGAATTTGCTAGTTTTTACTAGAGTTTACTAGTTTATGCTATTACTTCCAAAATGTGTTAAAAAAAAAAAAAAACATTGGAAATTTTGTATTCTAAAATTTTATTTTTGCTACTACAATGAAGAGGCTACCTTGTGAAGCAGTAAGAAACTTGTCTCCATCTTTGGAATAAATCCCACAAAACATCTTGTTGTTGTGTTGAACGGAGCTGATTGTTGTGCGAGGCAGCAGGGTGTTGCCTATCCTACATTTGTCCCCACGAGAGAAAGCTCTGTCGCCAAATATACCAGCCTGGAAAACATAAGCTGTCAAATAATCTGCTCAGTGGCAGAGAAGGTTGGATGGACAGTTTGGACAAGAACGTAGTGGAGTAGAACCCCAGTTAACCGAAATAAAGGGGGGAGAGCCGTTTCTGATAACAAATTTTTCGGTTAACCCGTCATATGCTAAAAATAGCCTATGTATTACCACGGTGAGTTGGAAAATAAATTTAAAACAATGTCTATATTATAATAGGCCCTACAGTATTTTATTTTAGGTACAGAAATGTTACAATGGGTTAGAACAAACTTAAAACTTTAAACTGAAGTTACTAAAGCATTGGTATTACTTATATTTTAGACTTGTATTATTTTATGGAGGCAGTGTACTGAGAAAACGGTGAACAAAGAATTGGGAGCAGCGATACAGTCAAATGTGTGGAAATTTTTATAGTTAGATAGTAATTTCATGAAACCTAAAAAAGCATTTAAACATGCAAATTAAACATTTAAAAACGAAAATTGTAATGAATCAACACTGTAGATTATGATACTCTCTTTGAAGCTAGCAATGAGCTGGGAGATCTTGAGGAAGCCATGAAACCGTCTCTTGAGGGGGCATCGGCCTGGTTCCGAGCAAATCACTTTTTTCTAAATGAAACAAACACTAAGCCTATAATCTTTAGCCTATGAAATTTAGAACATAATGTAAGATCTGTCAAACTTCTAGGCTTAAATCGTGACAACAAAGTAAACTTGAATGAACAGATTAGCCATGTTTGTGTTAGATTTTCTGGAGCTCTGTGTCCACTCAGAAGATTGAGATTTTTTGTGTCAAAATACTGACTGAAAACTGCATATATTGCTTTCTTTCAGAGTATTTTATTGTATTTATTTAGGCTCTGGGGTGCTAACTCTGGGGTCAAGAGAGTTCTCCGCTTTCAAAAGAAATCAGTTAGAATAGTATCTGGTGCTGATTACTTGGATCATTGTAGACTAATATTTCTAGCTGAAAACATAATGACGGTTTCTAACCTTTATATTTTTCAGTCTTTGCTCAAAATCAAGAGAGAGTGGGATTCTTATGAGCTAAGAGGCGACATCCATTCCAACAATTCACGTGTAGGAAAAATTATCTGAATTTACCACAAGTTTGGTTAAGTAAGGTTCAGATGTCAAATGATGTTCTTTTCTTAGTTACATGTTTTTTTTATAAACTTCCTTTTGTAGCTCAGAACCTGCCAGACCCAAAATTCAGGAAAGGGGTTGAGGGGCTCCTTTTGGTAAACCCTTTGTACAGGTTTAAGAATTTGTTGACCTAAGAAGGCTATGTAAGTATTTTTTTTTTTTTTTTTAAACCGAGTGAAGTGTGCTGTTTTGTTTCTCTGTATGGAGGGTTTCAGAAAATTGTTTATATTGGTAAGAAACCTTGTACTTTTTCTTATTTTAAGTTCATGTTTTCTAGTAAATGTAACCTTGCATTTTGTGGAGATAAAGTTTCTTGATTCTTGGAAATGAAAGGAGTTACTATCATGAAATATCTAGGAGGCAATCTTAATATTCTTAGGAAATAATTAATGTTGAAGCATAAAACAACACATGGACTAGAATGCAAAAAAGATTACGTGCAGCTCTCTAAAAACACTAGAAAGAGAATTGCCAAGATTTGTTTACAAATTTATACTATTTGAAAACTTACCTCTCTTGCCATAACCATGGATGTGGTCGATTTAGGTCTTTTACGACCTTTGGAATGAAGCAACCCACAAGCTTGTTTTGTAATTAATGTTATTTCACTCATCTGAAACAATTGTAAAATGTCAATCCTATTAGCTAATTACTTGATTTAAGGGTCATCCAATATCATGAATCAAATCTTGGTTATTTTTAGTTAATTAACTACCGGTACCACTACTTGCACTACAATCAATTGTAAAACGAAACTATTCTAAACTAACCTAACCAACCAAACTTGCTGATTATTTAAAAAATCTGGTAGTGAATAAACATAATTGCAATCAAAAAGTAGTGGTAGCGAATGAATGGAAAAAGGACCCAAATATTTATTAATGATTAAATAACATGTGTTACAATAGATTTCGTCCAGTTATAAGGTTGCCATAAAAATATTTAAAAACAAGACAAGGCCTACAGCAATGTACAAATAATGTTCTATGTAATCTACAAAAGTCAAATCTACAAATTTAATCTACAAGTAACTTATGAAATCTCTAAATACAGTAGAACCTCGATAGTTCGACACTTTGTGGACTTCAGGGATGTCGAACTATAGAAATGTCAAACTATAGGGAGTAAATGGAATTCAATATACAGGAAAGTAAAAACACAATTCTTATGTAGAGATCACCCAAATGTATTAAATACTAAAAAGCTTAACAATTTAACTGTTCATTAGTTAAGTCTCAAGTCAACAACAAATGACAAATTAATGTTCAAGTCGGCTTACATCACGATGTAACCATTAAATATCACTTGACAAAATAGCTCAGCCCGTGTCGAACTACAAGGAGTGTCGCACTCTCGAAGGTTGACTGTATGTAAATTTTATAAACCTATCTTACATTGTTTCGAAAATATACATATTTTAAAATGGTAAAGATGGCGGTCCTTAGTGTGTGCCAATCTAAAATATTGTCCAGGATGAGTTCTATTTGTCCCGGTTGTCCGAGGCAGTACTTTAGACAGTCGTTATGGAGGAATAACATAGGGCCGACAAGAGGTCCCTTTTCTGAAATAATGCGACTTTTACGACATGCTTCGATAAAACATTTAATGAAAAGTACCGAGAGTTAAGACATAAATTGGTATTGCCTCCAAAGAGGAGACTATTATCTCTCTTTTGGAACCAAAATCGTTTCTTGAATACAAAAAAAGATTTTATGTGTATTTAAATTTTTTAAACAGTTTTTCACAAAATGGCCCTTCTTCCTAACAAAATTTCCTACAAAAGTTTTATAACTTAACAACAACAAAATCGTAGATGCATGGTACTTGCACCAAGTGATTTGGAATTCCCAACAAGAGGTCCCTTTTAACTTTCCACGTCACATTTAAAGAACATATACCTAAAAGATCACAACATCAGCAATCCAGTTATGCCGAGCATTTAATATTGTAACCTTAACCTAACAACTACACATATATTGATAAGAAAATCGAAATAGTTGACGTATTACCAAAAAGTTTTAAGCTTGATGTTACAGAGGAATTCACCATCTACAAAGCAAAAAAAAACTCGACCCATTAAACATTTTAAATCATCAGACTTATTTCCAGTAAAATATTATTTTTTATACATATATTGGCAAGCTACAAGTCAAAGAAGTATGAAGAAAGAAGAACAAAACAAACTGAAATACAGGTGGCACTAGAAAGAAGAAGAAACCTCATGATTCAGTCAGTTTTATTCAGTCAGTGGCAGTGATAAGACAGTGATGGCCATGGCCAGCTTTAACAGTTTTAACCAGTTTTATTACTTTTTATTCCATATCAACTATATTTATCAACATGACAAGTTTAGATTATTGTGATTTTGACAGTATTTTTAAGAATCTATTGACATACCACAAAGTATTGCCAATACATTGATGATGTAGTTGCATACAATGACCTGCAAGGTTCTAAGGAACGAAACTAGTTGTCATGCTAACAAGTGTGGTTGGATGATAAGGTAAACATTTTATTTTATGATAACTTCAATATCAATACTAAGAAATGATTCATACTCTAATTGATCAAGATCAACATTTTTGTGTCATTTTAGTTATTTTATTTTGTTGTTTAGTCTAAATTTTTGTTTGTTATCCCTTGTGTTTGGCAGCTTGCTTGTGATGAAGCAAGAATGATGTATATATATTTTAGGATAAGAATTAATACAAATAAATAATGAACTATTACAGCTGTGCAATACGAGATCTCAGGCTCTCGTACAATGACGTCATATTTCATTCCTCGGCTGGCTGAAGATTGTCAACATTGTACTGGTTCACATTAACAAAACAGACCTCTCTCTCTCCTTTTTTTTGACGAGGTTATGATGTGCAAACAATTACTGCCCAACATAATCTCGGTGTCTCATATCGCACCTTATTAATTAAAAATGAATTGAAATGGGTTTATTGTCCTTTGAATTTTTATTGACAATCTCATAAAACAGCAAAAGTTATAGCATAGTCAGACAATAAACAATATAATTTAGCTAAAAAAATGAGACATGCTACAATACATATTTTAAATATTACCATTGAATAATCTTATTCTTAAGAAAAAGTTGTGGAATTCAGAATAATGGAAGTGATTAAACCGCATAACCAACAAAATCCAACCAGTACTTTAACTCAACTTAAAAATTAATACCAAGCATTTCAAAGAAATAATTTAGAGAATAGAAGGGGTTATTCAAAAGCCATCGGTAGAGTTTAGTTTTAAAAGTATTTTCAGGATATTTTTGTATAAAATGTATTAGTTGTTGGATATTTTTAGTGAGATTACAATATGACTTTTAAGAGTTTTAGACAGACTGAAAAAATCTATTGCAGCCAACGTTTTTATTCCTTGTATTATGAACATGAGAATTTTGTTTGAGTTGGGATTTTTTAGAATATGTGATACAGAGTCAAAAATAAATAAATGTTAATCACAGTTAGAATTTGTAGCTGAATGAACAGGGGTTTACTACAGTGTTACTTCTAAGATATAATTTTAACCAACTTCTTGTATAAGACTAAAACTTCCTCTATCCTATTGCAATTGCTGTAAAAGATAATATTGTAGGCCCCTATCTAAAAATGGATTGAAAATAAGCAAAGTAAGCAGCTATTTTAATATTTAATTTTGATCCATACAATGTATTAGTTTAGTCATAAGACAAATTACCCATGAAAGCTTAGAACTTATGTAGGTAATCGATATGAGGTCCCCAAGAAAGAGTCTTATCTTAAAATACCAAGAAATTTAACATTGTCTACATACCCACCCAATATATTTAATTCGCACAATCTAAGGTCAAAAACAATTTCTTGAGTTTTTATTTTCTTTATTTAAGAGGAAGCCATTAGATTTAAACCAGATACAGGCTTCATTAATTGAGTTTTGAGCTAATTCTTGAAGTTGTTTAAGATCGGGATCACGAGATCATAGCAGAGACCTAGGCTATAGGTCTCGTAGCGCACCATTGGAATAATGTGTGAAAATATACAACGCAGCGATCATGTTAATCTGATACCAAACACACCCTAGGTACCTAGGTAGGCCTTTACAACCTAAAACTATGTGTTACATTACATGTACATGGGTCTACTAATTAATTATCATCTAGGATAACGGCAATTAACTTAACCCATTTTACTGTTTGTACACTCCTTTGAGAGCAAATTTTAACAACAACAAAATTGATCAGTTAGAAGGTTTTTTTCAAGATTTTACATTCTTTTAGATGGTTCTAAAAAATCAAGTCTTTTAAATAAATTACCATACCAAGAAAAAGACTTCTTGACATGTTCTTGTTGTATGTGTTTTGCAACTTAAATGTTTTACAGTGATCTTGTGTAATCTAGTATTTTTACCTGTAGATTTTTAGTGTTGGGAACGTGATCAATTTGAGGTGGGCTGGCTGCGGCTACAAAATCTTCGTCACTGTCGTTATCATGGTCAGAGCTTATTATGTGAACTTGACCACTGCAATAGAACATAGCCTACATTATACAACCAAAGTCTGACACGATCTTTAATAATTTATATTCGTGCCTATCTTAAAACACGAATGTACAACTAATTAATATGTAGTTTCACTGCCAGGAAATAACACCAACAAATAGCCTATTTAATTCAGGCAGATATTTACTAAGGGGTCAAACGGGAAAAAGTAAAAGATGTGAAGAAAAATTTACCACCCAAAAACAAAAGAGCAATTGATGTCACTGTCCTGAATTCAGATAGGCCTAACATGAAAATTAAACTTTAGTTCGACCAATGTTTATCACAATTTAACTCTTTTAAATGGGTACTGAAATTAAGGGATCGGCATTAAGCTACTCCTTTCACAACCCACTACTGAGATGTTTGGCCAAGAGCATCATCATCCCTCACAAATATTTTTTTCGGTAAAGTGCAGTCAGTCAACTTCTCCCCATCTAGTTATCAATATACCACCACTTCGCTGGCCATCTCCCTCTTTGCTATCTTTGTTACCAACCTGAACTACAGACAAAAAACAAGCTTCAAATTAACTTGGGAAGTCTACTTGTGTTGGTTAACTAGCCTATCATCAAGTCTTTAAGTTACAGAAGTAGGCTACCTGGTTATAGATAATTAACTAATAGTTAAGTAACTTAAACATGAACTATAGAAACAAGGTTTAAAAAAAATTACCTACTTCAAAGAAACTTTACACGAATACCTTATATAACTTGGGCCTAATAGGCTGAAGTTATATAACAGGCTGGTAGGACCATGTCAGGCAGGTTAAAAACATATTATCTGTTTTATTATTGATTGCATGTTGTGTTGTCTTTTATAGGCCTACTTGCTAGCAACTTGCATATGTATTATTGACTAGGATATTGCCTTCTCTTATCTAATGCATAAATTCGCAATGTAAGAAGGCCTACCTATTTTGGGCCTCTTGTTATATATGAATTAATATTTAATTTAATTGAAAAAATATTTAGAAGATGAGCCCATATAAAAACATTGAATGGTCATATAATGATCATGACACCTATTCTGTACTACTCTATGTTCAAGAATAAAGTAACTTGTTCTGATTCTGATGAGATGCTTAAAAACTGCATTGGGTACAGTTTCTTAACTGGGCTACGCTAATATCGATTGAAACTATCGATTCGATTAGTAAACTTTCATGCGATTTTTTCACCATGAGCAAGTTTGGTTGGTTAGGTTAGGTTATGATAGTTTAATTTTATAATGGATATATTTTAAAATATTGATTATTAATCAATATTTTCTATTCAATAGTTTCAATCGATAATAGCGTAGCCCAGTTAAGAAACTGTACCCACTGCATTTAGCCTAAAAACATAACACGAGGCCTAAACTTAGGCCTAGTTGTTGCGATGGAACTTCTGACAGGTCCTAGGCCTACTTGAAATGTTTCAGAGCTGGCTGTTTCAATGAACTACAGTAAGTGATGGTCATGCTGAAGCCGTGTTTTGACGAGAGTTTGGAACTAACTTAAACGTTTGGAACTTTTTCTTGGTAACTTAAACCCTCCGAGTGTTGTGTCGTAAAAGCGACTCATAACACATCCGCTGTAGTGTTATCACACTACAATCCGCTTTTGCGACTCACAAACACTGTTTACGGCGACGGCTCTGGGACTGACTGAATTAGATTGAACTGGATCGAGTTAGGTATAGTTTTTTTCAGCAGATTCACAGCTTTCTCCTGATGTCTGTTTCTATACGCTTTTCATTTTAGTTCCGAAAATATTGTAGCAGACAGCTGACGTGCGTATTTTTAAACAGCTTGGTTAACCTCGCACCGATGACTGATGTGTTTTATTACGTTTATCATTGTTTTAGTGTTAAAAATAAAAAGTAGTGATATACGTGGTGCATTATAAGAATATTTAAGTGATTTTGAAGGGCTGGTTGATGATCCTGAAGAAGTAGGTAGGCTAGTGATATTGATGTAAATTATCAGCCAGATTCCTAACTATGGTTAGGCTATGCATTCTTAGCTAAACGCTATGTACCGAAATCTGTTTTTTGGTCATAACTTATTTATTTGCGAACCTACTTCCTTATATTATTATATTTTTATTTTTGGAACCCTCATAAAATTCTGAACAAAGTGGCTATTTTAAAATATTTATAGACCTATAAATTATAACAATTTATTGAGCGCAAACATAATTTTTTAATTTATTTTATAATTTTTGAGAAATGTAACCCCACAAAAATTGTTGAAATTTTGTTTGTAATGTTTTAGCCTACAAGTTATGTAACATTGAAGCCCATAATTTTCCAAACAAAATGACATATAAAACAGTATAGGTTAGCCTTTTAATCACCCTTCCCGAGAACGCAGATAACACTGAGAACGTGGCGCGTGGTGGTGGGTACGCACGGGGGGGGGGGGGGGGGGTAACTTAGCGGGGAAGTGTAAAAGACAGCATAGAATTATCGAAACATGTGTTCTAAACATATGTTTCCTTGTGTTCTGAACACCCTTTCATCTTTACCAACTTCTGTTGTGAAATAAAATTTCGTTCGTAAACACTAAAAAACTGTTTCTAGGCTGCCTAATATTAAAATGTTTCTTTTCAAAAAGCAAGTTAGTGTTTCCTAGTTTGTTTAGAACATTTATTGCAAACACATGTTCCCAACACTGGTATAAACGCGGATTTAGAATGACGAGAGCCCAAAAAAGCTGTTTTCAGGCAGTTTAGCTTAATTCTAGGCCTACCTTGGCCTAAGCACTAAATTTTATACAGCTACAAAAAGTAACTTAGATTTATCTAGGTTGGATTAGATTGTCCTACATAAGTAAATAAGAGATAAATAAACTATCAAAGCAACAAACCCCCTAAACTAGAAAATCCCTTTACATGAGTTAAACCCAAACAACCTGCGTATTAAATACTGCAATATAGCAGCCAAATCAGACTCTGCACTATCTTCTGACCGTTCTTCCATTCTTCGAGATGCAGAACTTCCCATACAGACAGACGTTAAATCAACCGACGAGAATAAATTCCAAGCAAAAATCAAACTAAAAGAAATATTTGTGACTTTAAAACAGTTCAATTAAACCTTCTTCCCTGACACAATAACCTCTTACGCATTGTTTTTACTAAAGTACAATCAAAATCAGTGATCAAAATAGCCTATCTATCAAACTCTCCTCTTCTTTTCTTTTGATCATTTCGTGCGAGAACTGACAAATGTCAGACAGTGTGACCAACCAACATTACAAGTTAAGGAATTTTGCTCTAAGTATATATGATTGTAACATTTTAGCGAATTTCCCTATACGGAAGTAGCTATTGCCGTAGGTCTCATGGTAAGACCTAGGCCCGGGATCGATTTACTTTTTCATTTTGATCGATGTCCCCAGAGGCAAAAAGGTGTAAGGCGGGGTAAACTTGAATGAGTTTGCGAACCAGCATGATCGTACACCATGGGAACTGGGTTTAACGGGGGTTTTATGGGGTAAAATGAGTTTTTCTAATTTTTTTACCCTCAAAACACAAAATGTATAAATTTTCTCCAGACCAGTTGAAAGAGCTTATATAAACAAATAATTTAGTATATCAAAGTGTTTTTGTACGGTTATTGGTTACCTACGGAGAAAATTTAAAAAAATTGTTCATTTAAAATTCCCATGTTATTCTTATGGAGAATATTGTCAAATGTTGTAGTTGGCTTGTTTATGGATATATCTTGATCAAACTTGACAGATTTATTTATTTTATACTAAGCTATTAAAATTTTAATAAAAAACACACTTTATTAGTTTCCCTGTAGCAACAAACCTAGGTACTCGCGTTAAACATAAAAGTTAATTTAATATATTAATTGAAAATCACTCCAGGCAAATGGAAATTTGCTTAGTCAGCAGGTTTGCTGCAGCTGGTGTATTTTAATAATACATTTTACTATCTTATCATTGACTATAAAAACTCTCGAAAAGACCTCTGACCGAAACACCGAGGTAGCGGGTAGTCGTAGGGGCGCCTTGACGGAAACCCATAATTTCGACCCTCTCCACCTGTTACTTAAAGTTATTAACATAGATAAAACACTATAGGGCTGCACTTTAGTATCTGTCCTACACTCATTCGAATGAATTTTCGATATATATATATATATATTGATTATTTCATTCGATATAAGAAGTTAGGTCAGTTAGGTTAGGTGTTAACCTAATGAAATAATCGATATATCGATTGGTATATTTATTTTAATGAGTGGAGGACAGATACTTATAAGTGCAGGTGCAGCCATATAGATAAACAATTATGGTGAAGCCCACTAGTATGGATATGAACCATACGTCTGGATATGGAACTTGTACCTATCCAGATAGACGTCCGGAGCTAAGAAATGCCTGGATCTGACGAGTAAATTACAAAGTGGCAAATCGAGAATTTTACCGGGGGAAAAAGCTGATGAACATTTATAAAATTACACTTTTGCTGTGTTGTGTACAATGAAGTGTACCTAGCTAAGTGGTTATAGTGCTCACTAGTAATAAAAGGTCGGTCATGAGAAAAGTGTATAGATTTTTGATGGTTCGAAGTACCCCAGCTGTCCTTGATCATTGGGCTTTCAAATTGTCCTGACTTAGCTATAAGCTAAGTTGGGTAGCTATATAAATATATAGCTTGTTATGGCTATAACTTAATACAAGCTAAACAGCTACCTATAAAAATCTACAAAGTTTAGAGGAATCAACGTACGTGGACGTCCACCATCCACCATTTTTTACAAATTAAAATTACGCTAAACTCTTTACCTTTATCGCAGCCGCTTCAGATTCTTACAGCTAGCAGTCATGTAAGGATAAAAATATATGAGGGCTTCGAAATATTAACGTATAAACTTATATCGGCACTTTAGAGTCTAGTGGTTTTTTGGAAACGTCAAGTTTTGACGTTGCTCAGAAATATGATGCCTCGTAATTAATTAATCTGTAACTGAATATAGCTTATCGTTAACTTGGCTCCTTGAACACTTGGAATCATAGATTTTCATCATTTACTCCACTAGGAATTATGAATCTTGTTTAGATTTGATTCGCCTTGTTGTTGTTGCCTGAGTTCTTGTTAGTGGTAAGATGTATTGTGTCGCACTTTGCATTTCGCCACCTTGTGTGGCATTTCCAGGAGTCATCGTGAATTCATCCCCTTCCTTATCACTATAGCACTGTGGTATATATTTACAAAATTATTTACACATAGGCATATTACTTATACTTATACCTTAGATTAACCAACACTAAGGGAGTTTGTTTTATCTATGCGTTGCGTATTCATGGTATAAACCACATAAACTGTACTATGTAATATAAATTCAAATTTATTTTAAAAATTGAAATCTTACTACACATTGTAGTCTGCTGTAGAACAAAGAATAATATGACATTACATTTTGCATGTTTCTTTAAACCATATATATAGGTGGTTTCTTATAATATTAATAGAAAATTTTATGGCTGTTAAAGATATTAAATATAGCTCTTGACTTTCCTAATTGAATATTTTCCAAAATTTCTCAACTTGTTGAGGAATTTCTTGTTCTTAATTTAGATATTTTATATTTTTCCGAATAATAGGGGATAGTTTTCTTAAATATTTACTTTTTCTTCATGGACTTCCGGCTGTGGCTGATTTTCATTTGTCTCAAGACGAACTGCTGGGTCTATGAGACCGAAATCTTTCCCCTTGTCTATAACAATGATGTCACTCCGCCTCACAGAGCCCTCTTCTTCTATAGCTGTGACCTCTTCATAGACCTCGTAGCTTTTCTTTCTCAATTGATCAGATGTGATTTTTCTGATCGTATGGTGGCAGGTATTCCGTAGAAGACCACTAAATGGGTACTTTCCAAGGACGTGGGCAAGAGTTTCAAGAATAAATTTCTCAGATACAGGACAATGCCTGTACTAGCTGGTTCCCGTCCCTGGATCTCCCATGAAGACTTCTAAGAGGAATAACGTCTCCGACCATTTTCAAGTATATACTTATATTCTATGTATGTGGGGGAATTAAAACCTCATAAGATAGGAGTGCTTTTTAGAACTTTCTTATTCAATATTGATAAACCAAACCAAAAAAATAAACTAGAACTAGAACACCATCCATGGCAATCTTGAAGCTACATGCTGATATTCCTATTGCTTCATATAAGCTTGGAAATTGAAACTTTTTTTACAAACTCTAAGAACGGAAGCCCTAAAACCATCAAAACGGCACACGGAAGATTTCTCAGGTGCCGTTTTGACGTCACGAACTGCTGACGTCACTTTGAGGGAACGCCGTTACCGCAACGATACGGGTTTGAGCCATCGGCCCTAGTGATGTAGTGAATAGCGTGTCGGGCTGATAATCCGAATGTACCGGGTTCGAATCCCGCTGGTAGCACTAACTTTTTGTCAACAATTTTTTCATATCAGCAAGGGTTGGTTTGGTTAGGTTATGACAGTTTTATTTTTATAATAAAAAAATTATAAAATTGAATTTTAGGCATTTATAATTTTATTTATGAACAAAACTATTTTTGGATTAGTAAACCTTCATTCGTCCATTATCAGCACGTTTGGTTAGGTTATGACAGTTTAATTTAATAATAGAAAAATTATAAAATTGTCTGTTTCTTCAGACGCAGCAGTTAGTGACGTCGCAGTTAGTGACGTCAAACGGCACCTGAGAAATCTTCCGTGTGCGCCACCGGAATGGGCACACGGAAGGGACTAAGGCTAAAGGTGTAGTGACGTCATATCTCTAGAAGTGGCTAATGTCTTCTCTTGAGGCGTCACGATTACCGTAAGAAACGATGTGATTTCAGCGGCGTCCGTGGCATAGTTGGTAGCGTTTCGGATTGGTGTTCAGGAAGTCCCGGGTTCGAATCCCTCTGGCAGCACTAACTTTTTGTCAGCAAATTTTTCATATCAGCAAGTTTGGTTGGTTAGGTTATGACAGTTTAATTTTATAATACTAAATTTTAAAATTAATTTTATAATTAATTAAAAATTATAAGTAATTATTAATTAGATTTTTATCTTATATAGTTTTTATTTTATCAGCAAGTCTTATGTTATGTTATGACAGTTTAATTTTAAAAATTAAAAATTTATTTTATAATTTGAAACAATATTTTATAATTAAAAAGTTAATTTTATAACTAAAAATAAAAAAAAATAATAATTTAAATTATTTCAACTTAGCAGTTCTAGCGGCGAACGCTGACACTACAAGATATGTTAGCCTTAGTCCCTCCCGTGTGCCCCTCCGGTGCCCCACAGCCCAACTCCCCCCATCCCTGCTAAAACCCACTAGCTCAGTGCTACTGCTAAAACCATAAAACCAAACCAAACCTAACCTAAAATATTTCACTCCAATTTCTTACATTATGTTGTACGTTGTGTTTTTAGTATGTTTTCTTTTCTCGTTAAAACTTAAAAAGATTCTTTCATATTCAGTTGAAACTTGAAAGAGAAGAACCTAGTTATTAACTGTTTTGAATAGATATACACTGAAAAAAAAACAAACTATTATTTCTAAGTCAAAGAGCTAGGATACGGTACTTGATTACCTACCTGAGCTTTTTCATCAAATCTGCATATCTGCTTGGCATTGGAAAGGGAGTCAATAGTAAGTAGTGAGTCAATAATTATTAGTGGGGTAAATATTCAGTTTCCAGAACTCACCTAAAACGTTCTAGGGGTAACTTACAGTTTCTTAACTGGGCTACGCTAATATTGATTGAAATTATCGATATCGATTCAATTAGTAAACCTTCATGCGATTTTTTCACCATCAGCAAGTATGGTTGGTTAGGTTAGGTTATGATAGTTTAATTTATAATAGATATACGGTATTTTAACCCTCCAAGTGTCCATAGTAATGGTATTAATGTGCGCAATTGCAGGGCTTTATTAAAATGTATCTGGCTGCACTTTACTTGACGTCCTACACTCATTCGAATGAAAATATCGATCGATATATCAATTAATCGATTGCTTCATTCGATATATCGTTTGGTAAGTTAGGTAAGGTTAACCTAACCTAACTAACCAAACGATATATCGAATGAAAATATCGAATCGAAAAAAAAACAATCGAATGAGTGTAGGACGTCAAGTAAAGTGCAGTCATGTATCTTATAAACTTAAAAACAATG